GGGCAGAGTTGGTGGGGGGTGTTGTTTCACGTATCAGTGAAATATGATCTGGAAAGTCCAGTCAGAGGAAGGGATTTATGTTTAAAGGTTAATAGAATTCAGAACACAGCACAGCAGTTTATAAAACTCAACGAGCAGACTCGTACAAAACATAATCCAACCTATGACGTCGCACCTATACATTTAAGAAATCAGTTTAGTAATATATAGCCTGGAGGTGATGTCTAGTAGATGGGGTTGGGGCAGGGCAGCAGTTTGCTGCAGTCAGGAGATGGCCATGGTGGCACTTTTTATTTTTTGGCTTCTAAATAAGCACAAGCAGTTTGCTTTAAGACGTGGGCAGAAAACACATTGTTTGTGGGACATGTGAACAAAGCAAATCAGATATTTGAACACTGTGAATGTAACAGTTTGTTTGAAGCATGTTGGGGGCTACGTCTCTGTATCGTTTGTTATCAGAGCCTTCAAACCTGCTGCATTTTAAATGAGGAAGTGTGGAGAAAGACAATGACCACACATCTTAAATTAATTTCTAACAATGTTTAATAGGTCATTAACAATACAGACCACAGTCTCCTATTTCCTCAAACTTCTGCATTTCAAATAGTTCACTACAGCCCAAAACAAACATGCAAAGCACCTTTATTCTCTCCCTTTCATCAGATGATTTACAGCAACACTGGGTGGAGAAACCTGAGAAAAGGTCTCAACCACAAGTCTCCACATGGGAGGTGTGAGTGAAACCCAGGGTTGGGTGAGCGCCCTGATGCTTTAATGACTTTATAACAGGAAGCAGGGCTGGGCAGGGAGAGGAATGAGCCTTGTTATCTCTGCTTTAGCCTCTAACCCCATTTAAAAAGAAATGTTTGAGCCCTGAACTCCCCCTGTCCTCTTTACCCTTTAGGTTCCACAGCAAATATCAGTGTGAGGGGAAGTGAGTGGGTGAGTGGGAGTACGGGCATAGCTGACTTTAAGATGTGTTACTCTACAGGTAATTTTACACAAAGAAATTAAGTGGCCAGATGTCTCCTCCAAAGAGCTGCCGCACAAGGATTACATTTTTACTGCAGAGAGAGTTTTTATCCAACCCTTACTGCTGTCTAAAACTCCATCTGACACCACCTGTTTGACCTCTTGCCAAACTAATTTTGAGTTCAGATAAAGAAAAAATTTTCTGCTTCTACATAACATGTGCTTGTGCTTGTTCAATGTGCCAAACCATGACATTTAACATCATTTTAACATGTTAAAGTTTCACATTCAGTTCACCGAGGGATATCATGGGATGCATGGAAATAGCTGGTAAATGATGTTAAGTTTGGTTTTTCTTGTCAGAAACATTTATAGCTTTTTTAGAGTTTTACATGGATCGACATTTTGTTTTGAGTGCCCACAGCATTGGTTTAACAGTGACACAATTAATAGCCAGGCTTTGCAGCCAAGCCGTGAATGTGAGACAGAGACATCACTGAAAGATGGCTTCCCTGTTGCACTGGACATAAGATTCATCCATATGCTCTTCTTAAAAGACCTGTTGTACAGTCCCATCTGTAAAGTGAGGGGGTGTTTCTCAGATTTCTTATATGGGTTGTCATTTCCTTCCTTGCGTCTTAGTCTAGCCCACATAAGATGTGAGGAAAAGATGCAAGGAAACATGCACGGAGACAGGACTCAAGGAAACACATAAGTCCTTTCTTCAGATCTTTCATCTGATTCTTCATCTCCAGTCACCGAGCATCCAATTGGTCGGTTTATAAAAGACTTCCACAAAGGACAGCTCCTCCAAGCAGCCTCCTCACTCCTCAAAGCCTATATAAGAGACTTGGAACATCCTCAGTCATTCTCAACCAAGAACACAGGAACAATTCATATAAAGAACTGAGAAACACCCAGGGAAATGAAGGTGCTTATAAGCAGTGGTGGAAGAAGGACAGGAAGACTGTTTACTTAAGCAAAACTATCAGTACCGCACTGTAAAAATACTCTATTACAAGTAAAAGTCCTGCATTCAAAGTGTTATAAAGGTATAAGTACTGCTTATGTAGAGTGGCACAGTTCACATTAACATAAATCATATTATTGGATTATAATTATTGATGTATTATAGTGTACATCACATTTAATGTTTCAACTGATAAAGATGGAGCTAACGGTAACTACCTTATAAACTTACAATTTTAAGTATTTTACATACTGCTGGGTAACTTGTGAACTTTCCATGGAAGCTCAATAAAGTCTTATGATTATACTGCATTTTGCTTAATTAATCTCAACTTGAAAAGTAACTATTAACTAAAGTTATCAAATACATGTTGTGAAAGTATGTAGTATGTAGTATGAAGTAAGTATGAAGTAGCAGAAAATGGAAATACTCAAGTAAAATACAGATGCCTCAGAAGTGTACTTATAAGAGATTTGGGATGCTCTTTCTTTAAATGAATAAAGACTGAATCTGGGTTGTGTTTATGAGACTAATGTGTATCTAACATAAACTGGTGAGACCATACATTCTACTATAGGCTGTAGAGGAGTGAAAGGTCCTTCTAATGAAGTTATATGTGCCATAGTCACATTACAGAGCATTTGGGGTTTGGGCCATCATTTATCACTTCATGATCATCTGCCCTTTCCTGCAGTGCATGCGGACAGTGACCACTTTCTGTTTTACATCTGGATTCTGGCACACTGGATTTTAAATAAAACCACCAGGTTAAAAAAAAAACTTGTTTCAGCGTTAAAGGTGCGTTTAGCCCAACACAAATGGTGCAGTTTCTTATTTTTGAAATTTTCTAAAATGGACATGAACGCAACACAACAGGACGCGTGAATGGCCACACACACACGCACATACAAGGCTGGACTGGGTGGTTACACTATAGCAGGTGTGCTCTGTGAAAAAACACAGCTTGGCCTCACCTGATGGAAGAACACGTCGAGCGGCTTATCCACAGGGCCGCTCATGGACAGGAAGCCGAAGCCCATCCGCACGTTGAACCACTTGCAGACGCCGCTGCCCCAGGACAGAGCCGCGTCCTCCTCCCCGCTCTGCGTGCACCCTGCTGCACAACACACACGGGTAGAATATGATGATCATGGTCAGTCAGGCGGTTTAAACACCGAAGCCCAAGGTGGCACAGTGGAGCCCGGAATGCCCCGAAGGGCCCGAGTTTTCCTGCTCGGTGTGTCTGACGTAACACGCGCCGGTGAGAGGAAAGTCTGACAGAATATCAGGCCTGTACTGCAATAGGCAACTGTTAATATTCAATGCCAAGTATTAGTCTGGGGAGTAGACATGAATTTGCTAGATGGCATAGCAGGAGTGCAGCTCCAGTTCTTTTTTATGAATATAAATGAATCTGCTGGTTATTCTATCCATCAATCAGTTAACCGTGGGAAATGCGCGCTGCGAATTGGCCGAAGCCAAATAAATGTATTTAAAAGCCTCGATTTATCTGTAGAAGAACAGCAGAAAACTAAAACTATCCACTCGTTTGAGAAGCTGCAGTAGGGTTTGGCTCTTCGCTTAACAATGATTGAAGAAATGATTTTCTGCTGACTTTTCACCTTTTACTTGTTTTGTTCTGCCCTGTTACTTTCTCTTAGGCTATAGAGGTCGCGCACTATTAATGTGAACACATGGTGACATCGGGGTTATGAAGCCAATACTGAGATGGAGAAAACAAATGCATGACAAAACACGGTTTATCCACTTTATTGATCATCTAGGCTCATTCCCGGCGTTAATTTAATATAGATTTTTAAATTAGGGCCTATCAACTTAGGCCTATATTTTACATAGACCGATAAACTGACCAATATTTAAGCATATATATGCATTTTTACGCGCCTGTCCTAACATGTTAAGATCCACCGAGACTTTCAAAATTAAAAAAAAAAATCTAAATAAAAACATTCCCAATAGTAAAAACGGCAAACAGTTACATTTTTGAAGAAGCGATGTGTTCCCGAGAGGATCTAACAACGTTAAAAGTTGGATTTGCAGCTGGTCTACCTGTGAAGGTCTGAGTGGAGGCGGAGCCCATCCCGCTGCTCTCTGCTGCTGCTGATCCCTGGCTTCAGTGCTGTCTTCGGCTGGGCTACACCTCCGTTCCATCCATCACATCAACAAAAGCATACCTTCCCCCTGACACCCGAGTCGTGGCAGCACGACAGCAGAAATGCTTCTGAATAGACAACCACCCACCAGGCCCTCAGAAAGGGAAGGCAGAGACAATGCAAGGGGAAGAAAAACCAACCCTCCCTGCTCTCTCTTGTCCATTGAAGGACCCGGCTCCATTCAGAGCAGCTTCAAAGAAGCTCTTCTTCTCGTACCTTCTGCCATGGTGGGAGGGTTCCTCAGCCTCCTGCACAAGCATCTCCGACCCTCACGCTATTAGACGAAATGAGTTAATTGCATGCTGGACATTGTAGGACTGTCCATGTCTCAAAAACATCTGTGCACGCTCTCTTCGTCGAGATGAACTTCTGTGTGTGAGTGTGTTCTTGTACGTTCTACATAGTGAGGACCAAAATAAGTATTTTTCGCTACAGAGCGAGGACGTTCCTGGGAAGTGAATGCATTTTGGCCGGTCCTCACTTTGTGAAACATCTTTTTAAAGGTTAAGACTTGGTTTTAGGGCTCAGGTTAGAATTAGGTTTAGGTTAGACTTAGGGTAAGGGTTATGGTTAGACGTTTAGTTCTGGTCATTAAGGTTAGGGTAAGGGGCTAGGGAATGCATTATGTCAGTGAGTGTCTTCACAAAGACAGAAGCACAAATGTCTGTGTGTGTGTTCCTCCAAGACAAAGAATGCATTTCCCTGCTTCCTGTTCTCTTCTTGCACAATATGCAGAAGCCCCCTAACCCTCCTACATCTGGTAGCCCCCCCACCCCCCACACACACACATTTATACTTCTATCTTTGTGAGGACACTCGCTGATATAATGCATTCACTACCTTAACCATCAGAACTAAATGTCTAACCATAATCTTCACTAAACCTACAGTAATTCTAACTTGAACCCTAAAACCAAGTCTTAAACTTCAACAAACTGTTTCAGAAAGTGAGCCGGCAAAATGTCCTCACTTTTTACAAATGTCCTCAATCTGTAGCAAAATATATATATACTTTTGTGATCCTCACTATCTATCAAGTACAAGAATATGCACACACACAGAGGTTCATCAAGTAGAAGAGAGCGCGCACACATGTCCAGCATGCAGATTTTGGTTTTGGTAAATAAAATAACTGAGAAGAATCAAGTGCCAGAGTTTGACAGCTGAACAATTAATTAATAAAATCTGATAAGTCTGAGCCATTCAAAGTAAGATGAATATTCATTTTGTTAATTTCATTTAAGCACATTGTTACATCATAAAGTAAAATTAATTAACTCACTCATGTCTGGAGTGAAAACTAGAATTTGAAATAGGCCCTAAATATTAATATACTAATTTTTAATGTAATTGGTAAATCTCCTTCTTTAAAAACCATTAGCTCAAAAAACCCAGAGACTATATCATATTCAGGTGCGATAACTCCTTAAAATCTACTGTACATAATTTGTTATTTAGGGCTTTTAAAGTTAAAATGCTTTCAATGTGGATTTATTGTTTGGCTTCTCAAACTAATACACAGATTAAGGGATCACTGCCTACCATACTAAACACTTTGATTAGAACAAGGTGTTGGCTCTTCAGAGCTATGTGAAAGATTATTTAAGGTTATTTTAAGACAGTGTTATTTTATAGTGATTAAAATATACTTCCATCTATAACAAATTCCTGGTTGATGTCTTAAACTACTTGTAGTAAACTGTTAGACCCACCTAAATCCACCAATCTGTCATCTCAAAGGAAACAGCAGTCCTGAATGTGTTCTGTATGAACAAGGTCGAAATGACTGGGTTTCACTGCTGTAGAAATGTTGTCCATGAGAGGTACACAAAGTGAGAGGTGACCGTTAATTAAACATCAGATGGCACCTCCTTCTTTTAATCCTTCTGGGTGAATCATATTTATTTTGGAGGACATTAATCCTTTTGCTTTGTGCCGAGCTGAGTCATATCCACCTGTTTACAGTCTGTGAAATGACACATGGTGATCGGTTGGAGTCAGTTTATTCACTCTGCTCATTAATAGGCAATTAGTGGCTTTCAAGCTGCTGTATAGGACCACAGACCTTTTCCCATCACAGCTGAGTCATGGCATTTCCTGTAACAACACACACACATATAGAATTGCATACTGTATGTGCAGATGTAATGAGCTAAGGCCAGCAGTTTGTCTTATTTCCTGTGAACAAGTGCAGTTTTATGTCTGTCTATGTTTGTGTGTAAGGTGTTGCCTGATTAAAACCAAATGACTACCTCCATTCACACCAGGGTCTTTCTTAAGGTCACCATGGAAATAGAAAAGCTTAGCAGCTACTGCATAACAAAGCAAACCACCCTAGGGCCAGAAGAGCTTGTGGGGACAAAGCCTTGGCATGTGCATTTTCAGCAGCAGCCACTGAATCAACACACACACACACACAGGCTGTTACGTCACAGTGACTAATAAGATGATACTCAGAAAATACACGTTCTTAAACATCAGAATGAGCCTAATAGAATGTATAGTGTGTATATAATGATGTATGGTTCAAAACACACTTTAGGAATAGCTGCCTGGGCTCTTGTGTATTGCTGAGAATAAGCATCAATCCCACAGGAGGCCTGTCAGTTCACTTTTAACCCCTCCTCCAGAGAGACATCAATACATCTGATCAATAACAAATCTATAATCAGCTGCCATGTTCTGACACATATTCCTCCAACAACAAGCCTCTAGGTAGGACAGCCTGCAGCGGACAACCTCGGGGCCAAACAGGCAACAATAATAAGCAGGTTCCTGTTCTTTTAAAGGAAAATCCAAGGTTTTTTTGGTTGACTTTGCTCCTTTAAAGCTACAATGTGTGTGTATTAAAATTCCTTGGTAAAAGCATAAATTCAAGCAATTCTGATGGAAACTGGTGCAGTACATGCTTTGCTCAATCACCTGGTCAGATCTGTGGGAGCGTACGCTAATGTCTACTTATCACTACCACCAGATGGCAGCAATGTCAAAAACAACATCTTCTGCACATAGTGAGTGGAAAGGATAAGGCTGGTGTTGTTCTTCTCTATCATTCATATTGTTAACTAATGCCATGAAAAGACCCAATGTGAAGATTTATTTATATGGGTGGGACAGAGGTGTAATGTCATTATGTATATTCACATGTACATACATACCGTATATGTGTATGTATATTACATACAGATCTGTAAATATATTACATACATGAAAAATGTATTTGTATAGATTTTGATGGTAATTTCCTGTGAATTCTTTGAATTTGCAAAGGAAATTCAATGCTTATTATTAACTTAAATAAAATACTATACCAACCAACAACTTACTGGTCTCTCCCTCAGTGGTTTCTGACTTCCCAACAATAGTTTAGTTTTTACCAGATGTTATTCAAAGAGAAGGAAATAGTGCATTTGTTCGGGACTATTTTTGTGGCGGATAAATTCACAATTGGTGCTCAAGTGAGTACTTCTGGCATTGGCATGGTGTATGTGGGATTTAGTCAAAATAAAGTGCATGTTCATGGTAATTAAGGGGCATGTCACCTAATATGAATGTGAAAAGAACACAGGTGCAGTTAAATACAGGTGAACAGAAATTTCATAAACAAAGAGGCAAGCAAAAACAATGCTCTGCCCAGGGAGAAGATCATCAACAATGCCTGTCACACAAAGTATGCAACAGAGGAGTGTTTCAGCACCAGGGACAGGAAATCTAATAAAGGCTTCCTTGTCATGCTGAACTATACTCTATAGGAACTAGAGGATGCCATCGCCATAGCTCTCCACACGGCACCAAAGCACCTAGAACACAGAGCGACTTATGTTTGGATGCCCTTTGTTGATTACAGCTCCACCTTCAACATCATTATAACAGACATACTGGTCAGGAAACTGCTATACCTGGGCCTCCACAGTCACCTCTGCACCTGGACTGGGGACTTTTTCACAAACCGCCCTCACCTCTCCTCCACCCTCATACTCAACGCTGGCTCCCCACAGGGCTGCATGTCTGGTCCACTTTACTCTCTTTATACACAGGTCACAGTTTGAAGGTCCTGAGGATCCACATTACAGACAACCTGTCCTGGTCAGCAAACACCATAGCTGCTGTTAAAAAGACACATCAGCGCCTGCACTTCCTGTGAGTCCAAAATAAAACAATGTGTGTGAGAGGCTGCTGGTGGCCTTCAACCGCTCTGCAGTAGAGAGCTTTTTAACCTCCAGTACTGCCTGACAGCATGATGTGTAGAATGTTCAGCAGCTGACAAGGAAGCATTACAGAGGGTCATCAACACAATAATCAGCTGCCCTCTTCCCTCACTCCAGGACTCTGCAGACACCTACTGTCTCTCCAGAGCAAAGGACATTGTCAGAGACTCTTCTGTCAGGTTTGTTCGGTTTCACCTGCCCTCTCTCTTCCACACACCTGCCAGCTATTCTCATTATCACCACCTGTTTTCACTCCTGAAATCACCAGACCTCCTATATATACCCTGCCTTTTGCCAATTTGTTCCTGTTTCCATGTAGAACTTGTGCAACTTTTTGTTTGTTTGTCCCCATAGACTGTTTGATACCTGCCTTATTGTTAACCTGCTTTGTTGTTGTTGCTGTTGCTGCTCCTGCTCCTGCTACAACTAAGCCTTCTCCTCATTCTCTCCTGCCTTCACCCCTTTTATCTGGACTATCACTGCGCACATGGAGCTGTTACCTCCGGACCTACATCATTCTTCATCAGACTACTATTCTCTAGCCAGGTCGGTGCTCTTGTCTCCAATTCCTTCCTGCTCATCATCACCCTCTGCCTTCTCCCTTCTCTTCGATTTCTATCTTCTCTGCATGACTAGTGAGTCTGCTCTGCAGCTCGGCCCAGCAACAACCCTGGACTCCCCATCCTGCTGCTTATACCCATCTTCCTCTCCTCCTATACATATTCATTGTTATTTGTCTAAGTATTTGCACTATTTACCTTGTACAGCACTTAAAATAAATATACTGCTTAAGTTGAAGTCAGCCATCTGAGTCCACCTTACCAGCTACCTTTCTGTCACACCACCTCTAATTGTGTGCAAACATAACATCATCTCACCCTGTCCAGCTACCTTTCTGTCACACCACCTCTGGTTGTGTGCAAACATATCATCTCACCCTGGTCACCACCTATTTGACCTCTTGCCAATAAAATCACAAACCAGTGTTTCCTATCTTGTACAGTAAACTATTTAGTCTCCTGTAGTCCCACAGAGTTGATTTTTGATTCATGCTAAATTAGCCTTGCAGTCCTAAGGCGTACCTTGGACTCGTTCACTGGTATCACACCCCAAGGGGGAAGTCTTCAGGAGTTTAATCAGTGAGTTAATTTCATGTGTAGAAACAAGGTGGAATAAGAATTGTGTATATGTATTGTATAAAGTAGTAACTACAGTATAGGAAATGTAGCTTTATTAAAGTGTGGACTGGCTATTGGAAAATATTATTTAACTCCAGATTAAATCAACAACTATTAGTTCATTTTATAGTTTACATCAAATTGTATGTATGCAAAAAATATCAAAACAAAATGAGATTTTTATTAAATCTCTTGTAATTTATTCCAGATACACATCATCACATTTAGCAAATTGAGGACACAGGTGCAGACCACAGACTAGGGAGTTTCAATAAATAATGAAAAGGAATTTAATTATAATGGATAAGCAGGATGCAGGTAAACGGGCAGGTACAGGAGCACACTCAATGGTAAGTATACTGTATGAACTGGTAATAAAAACACTTGGGATGATAAGCAATACTGGCAGGAATGGCTAGCTAAGTAGACAAATGCAGGTAATGTAAGTGGCTTAGGAAAATACAACTGAATGTGACAAAATATACATTATGTATACACAAGAGGCAAGCAAACCAGAGTAAAGCCCAAAACGTAGATACTGAGCATACACACAAGCTGGGAAGAGGCTTGTGATTAGGGACAAACAGTTCATATTGAATCAAGCAAGCCAGGTAAACACTTTGGACTAGGAGCAGACAAATCGGATTTTTGGAGCAACTAGAATCCACATACAATTAAGGCAGACAAGAAATTTGGGACAGGTTACTGACCTGAGGTCCAGAGAGAAAAATCATACACAGGTGAATCCAGGAGTTGGAAAGGCAGGGCTGGAGTTCAATGGTATAAACGGGTCAAAACCAGGACAAGCACAGAGAAAAAATGCTGAAGAGTTGAGAGATGAGTTATTAGATGACAATCTGGCAGTGAGTGAATGCAGAGAGGTGCTGGATTACAGGTGAGTGTGGGTGGAGCAGAGCAGGTAGCCAGAGTGGAGAAAATGGAACAAAACATAGCATAACAGAAAAACGTAGGGCAGAGACAAAACAAAGACTGGAATCATGACAAACACCATGTACAGGTGTTGTGGAGTTAACTGAAATACACCAGCATTGGTAAGTTTAGGGATTCGATTTCCAACATGAAACAAGAGTGTATGGTAGAAGATTAGTGCCACAGTAATGGAACAAACAGATTTGCCCTGTCTGGGGCACTGTAGTATCCTATCTTAAAGACAGCTTACTTTCCTAATAACTGGACTGGAAAATTATTATTTGAAAGCCAAAATGCTGATTTTTATCTTTTAAAAATCTTTTTTTTTATTATATTGGCCTACCAGTTGATTTTCATGCCAAATACAGCTATTATGATAGGATAAGTGCATTGCTGCACACAACAGTTGTGCAGCTACTTTGCATTTGCAAAACACCTTTCAGAAAACATAATGCAGCCCAGGTTACATTTTTCATCAACACATCTCACAGAATGCTAATAGCATAATATATCTGTATGTTAGAAGCTGGAGTCAAGACAGACTTAGCTTAGCATAATATAAAGACTGGAACCAAAGGGAAATCCCAAGCTTGCATTTGATCAAAGTGAAAAAGAATTACACACAAGTAAATGGTTGTCAGGAAATATAACTCCCCCCAAAACCAATGGTTATTTTTTATTTCTGTTTATCTACATGTTAAACAACATATCAAAACATGTTACAAACATCCATCATGTTAATTAGTGAGCTACATCCATCATGTTAGTGAGCTTTGGTGGTGCTGGATGGAGCATGCCTTCAGTGTCTGTGCTATGCTGCTAAGCACAATTTAAACACAAATATAATTTCGTCCTTTTAGCTAACGTTTTTAAAGTCATTTTCATCAATATGTGCTGTAAACAGAAATATTTCTTCATACTAACAATAATAGATTCCTGCATACACACATAAGCTCCATCGCCTGCTTCTTTGTGGCATTAATCGCCCCTCATAGAACTCCTTCCGGTCGGGATTCATCCCATCTCCCTCCTGCTAGCACCACGGAAAAATGTTTCTTTCTCTCGTCTAATGTGAACATTAATTAAAACCCGTGTTTCTCTACGGCAGAGCTGGTTCTAGCAGCAGGATGCAAACCGCCTTCGGAGATCTCCGGTAATAACATGGGATGACAGGAAGAGCCACTGCAACAGCTCGATGGAGAACAGAGGAGCAGAGTGAACAAGCGATCGGGTGATTAAGGTAACTAGACTGCTTGTTGCAGCTTTACTGAAGCCTCGGCTCTGAGCAGACTGGCTTCTTTTCTCAGGACAGACGTGAGAACTGTTGAGCGATGACATCGAAATCACTTTTCTCTCCCTCTCTGGAGAAGAAGAAAATGAAATTCGACGTGATCATCATGGCTGTGCAACGGCAAATAGGTGGCGATTTCCTGAGGCATTATAGTACAGGGTGCCCTGGGGTCGTGATTATGGAAGTCAAATGAGATTGCTTTTGATATCTCACAGGCTCCGTTATGCACCAGCCGCTGCAGTGACTGGACGTGTTTCTTTTACCTGCTCGACGCCACTTCATGCTGAAAGACGCTGAGTGAGTTGGCACCGAGAGGAGCCCGTGTTACTGCCCTGCTGGATGTTTCCCTGCAGCACCACGGACAGCGACAATGACTCGGCTACGCAGAAAGGCTCTCGTCGCACTTTTCCTTTTCACGCTCTTCATCTTCGGGACCATGATGGGGCTCAGGACGCTGAAACCCAGTGACGGCTTTTCTGACCTGGCACCCGGAATGGACTTCAACAGAGAGAGATCCGAAAGGAAGCGGCTGGATGTGAAAGATGTGGTGGTGTCACCGGGCCAGTTCCACGCGGGCAGCAGTGACACTAAGGTGGTTTTGACCAAATCGGACCGAGATCACAGCATATTCTATGATATTCATATATTCTACTACCTGTGGTACGGCTCTCCCAGCATGGACAACAAGTACATTCACTGGGACCATGTGCTGGTGCCACACTGGGACCCTAAGATTGCAGCCAGTCATGCTCAAGGACGGCACACACCTCCAGAAGACATTGCCTCAAGTTTTTACCCCGAACTGGGACCCTACAGCTCCAGGGACCCAAAAGTGCTGGAGCCCCCCCTGGCACAGATAGAAGCGGCTGCCGCAGGTGACTATTCTTAAATGTTGGTGTTCTTACAGTAAAGTGTTGACACTGTCCTAGTCAGAGCTTAAGAAAATCTGGGGCCACTAGCTGATCTGTCCCTGCAGATCTGAGACACCTACCAGGCTTGTACTCAGCAAACATATCTCTAATGTATTATGGGCCCAGATCATTGAGAGAATTGTAGACAATGAGTAAAGCCATAAATTCAATTCTGTATTTCAAAGATCTAAGTTTATTTTTTTCTGCTTGGTGTTTGTCAGTATTCTAGCAGTAGCAGAATAAGCTGCAGTTGTCTGATGGTCTTAGTGGGGTGGCCAGTCAGTAGTGCATTACAGAAGCATCAGTGATCTTTTCTAAATCCTGCTTAGACAGAAAGTTTCTCATTTTAGCTGTCTAAGATGCCAGAATGATGATTTTGTTACAGCTTTGATGTGGCCATTAAAATTTAGACCTCGTCAATGATTACGCCAAGATTCCTGACACAGGTGTTAGGTTTTAGTGTCCTGGACTTAAGGTAATCACTGACCGCCATCCTTCTTTCTTTGTATCGAAAACAATGATCTCTGCTTTGTCTTTGTTTAGTTTAAGGAAATTTTGTTGCATTCAGTTTTTCAAGACATAGACATAATAAGTCTATAGGACCATAGTCACTTGGTGAGAGCATTAAATAGATCTGGGTGTCGTCCGCGTAGCTGTGATAAGTAACACTACATTGCTGGAAAATTTGAAAAAGTGTACAAGATAAATAGGATGGGTCCAACAATCCATGCTTGTGGAACTTCATACTTCATGGTGGTTCTTTAGGATTCAGATTCATAATTACCAGTACTGACTATGTATCCCTTGTATTCTAGATATGATTGGAACCTGAGGACAGTTATCAATAGTCTGACCCAGTTTCCCATTCTATATAGACGTAATTTGTGATATACAGTGTCAAATGCTGCACTAAGATCTAACAACATCAAGACTTTTAAATTCCCCTAGTCATTAGTCAAGCAAATGTCATTTAAAATATTTATGAGAACAGTTTCAGTTTGAGATGGGCATGGACTTAATACTGAAGTGTCCAGGTTTCTCCTTTTCTCTTTTTTTTTTTTTTTTTGAAAGGGCCTTATACTGTAACTGCACTCTTAATGATGCTGGAGGTGATGCTGATTACAGGGAGCCATGGTTTTTGTAGATGGTGATGAGGTCATATTGTCTCTGCTCAGCTATGTGTATCTAATACAACCCCAAATCAAAAAAAGTTGGGTCAATTTGTAAAATAATATAATAAATTAAAACAGAAAATACTGATTTGTAAATCCTCTGTGTCCTGTATTACACCGAAAACAAAACAGCAGCACATTATTTGATGTGATACCTCATCAATGTGTTTCTTTGTTCAAAATAAACACTAGTTCAATTCTGAGGCTGCAACACATTCCAAAAAAAGTAGGGACAGTAAAGCATTTACCACGGTCTGATGCTGCTGTTCCTTTTCACAACACCTTAAAGACGTTTAGGGACTGAGGACACCAAGTGATTCAATGTGTCAGGTGTCATTTTGTCCCATTCTTCTTGAAAACAAGTCTTAAGGTGCAGAACAGTCCTGGGTCTTCATTGACACAATTTGCATTTCAAACAGCTCAACAGATTGTCTACTGGGGACAGGTGGGGACTGCAGACAGGCCAGTCCAGCACTCATACCCTTTTCCTCCACAGCCAGGCCTTGGTCATGTGGCAGTGTGAGGTTTGTATTGTCTTGTTGAAATATACATGGGCGTCCCTGGAAAAGACGTCATCTTGAAGGAAGCAGATGTTGCTCCAACATCTCTGTGTGTTGTTCAGCATTCATGAAGCCATCACAGAAGTGTGAGTGACCTTTGCCCTGGACACTGACACAACACCAGACCATGAACAGACCCTGGCTTTTGGACTTGTTGCTGCTAACAGTTTGGATGGTCCTTTAGTCTTTGGTCCAGAGCACACGGTGTCCATTCCTTCCAAAAAGACCTGAAACATCCATCTTTGCTCCTAAAGGGCTCGGCCTTTCCTGGATGCTGCCTTTGTACCAAATCATGATGCAGTCACCTGTTGACATCACCTGGTTCACATGGAATCATCATTTCATTGTTTTACTTTATTACTGGCCCTGAAATGCAGCTGTCCTACCTTTTTTTTTTTGGAATGTGTTGCAGACATCAGAAATAAAATGAGTGTTTATTTTGAACAAAGAATAAAATTGATGAGGTGTGTTCCTCGAACCTGCCCGGCTTTCCTCCTGACGACTCATTGCATTGTAGAGTCCGGCTACCCCGACCACTCTCCTGTCTTCCCAACTCACCTGTGTGTTCCTAGCCCTGCAGCTCCCGTCTACCCATCTGAATCATACCCAGCTCCCCTCCGCCCGCCTGCCTCATCCCCAGCTCCACCTAAGTCTCCCCTGCCTGTCTAACTCCCCTGAGTGCTCCTAGCACCACAGCGACACACCATTGTTTTATGTACCCTTATTTTGTTAATAAAGACTGGTCTGCATTTTGGGTCCTAGTCCCATTGAGCACTGTAACAGATGAAGCAAGTTGAATAATGTTCCTCAGTCCTTCAACAAAACAGGGCTTTAACCTTCAGTATGATTCATCACATTCAAAGTTCAGTTCTGACTTCCTCCCTTCCTGTCCATGCTGTGGTGCTGCAGGGGTGCTGGTGTTGTCCTGGTATCCTCCCGGGGTGGCAGACGACCACGGGGAGCCCACAGAGGACCTGGTTCCAGCTGTCATGGACGCTGCCCACAGGCACAGCATCAAGGTAACTGGTGAGACAACTGGTATGTTTTTCCTTTCTGATGATTTACTGACTTGCCAGTGAATTGTTTACTGTGTGGTGCCACAAGGAGACATGAAAATGTTCATAGAGTCAGTATGAAAAGCAGAAAGCTGCATTAAGTCCTTTTATTTTGGCTGTGATCTGGACAGAAATATGTTGCATAAAAATCATTTCCTGAGATATTCAACCAACATGTCATGTGTAGGTGACATGCTTTACCAAAATGCACTGCAGCAACAATTTAGCCTACATAAAGAAAAAAATGTATTCTAAGACATGTAGGTAAAAATGAGTGATGGCAATAAGCACAGAGGTCTGTTTACACTGGAAGTGGTACAGCAAAATGAATGTACTTATCCTAGGTGGTGATAGAAGTTCAGAGATGCAATAACTACAGTTTACTGTGTAACTTAATGTTGTTCCAGTGTATTTCTTGGCTTTATGTACAGCACTAAAACATCTGAAAGGTGCTTCCAGCCTTGCCTTGCCTACTCACAGGACGAGCTCGGGAACTACTATAGCTGTTAAGCTAGGCAGTCACAGTTCAAGTCAACAAAATCCAGGTTAGCTGGCTTACAAATGAACTGTCAGTCACCAGTAAATTAAGCATCTGCCAATTGTCAATTAGCAAGCTAGACCGTGTTTGTGGAACTAATCATTAGACACAGAGTAGCACAGACATATTTGTGCCATCCATAGCTTTATGTGGCATTGTTAATTTCATCAACAAAACATACGGCAAAAATATCTTTGGTCCTATTTTTCACAAGAAAAACAAGACTTAAAGTAACATTTGAAAAGACTAAACGTATTGCAGTTGTAGATGGCAACACAAACACATTCCTGATACGTTATTGATCCATATTAATGAGATGTCTGCTGCTTTTTTCAATCTCTTTAAGTTTAAGTCACATGCTTATGCCATGATTTACTGTTTATTTTTTATATAGACATTTTGAGATTTTCTGGCTACTCACATTTTTTTCTATTTAAATTAGAAATGCACATAAACGCTGAATGAAACTCACCTTCCGTTCTACACTCAGTGGCTCTCAATTCCTAGAAAGGTCCGAGTTCTCTGGATGATTTGTTACTGGTCAGTGGTTCAGATTTCAGTGTCATGGTTCACCACAATAGAACTTGACATTAAAGATTAGCACAGATTTCCTACAACTGACATTTTGCATTTAAATACTGGAATGATCAAGCCTTAAAAGCTACATTTAGTCCAGTTGAGGAAAAGGTGTGCCCTTTACTCAAAACGCTGCATATTTTGTTGCTGCGCTGCATTCTGGTCCACTGACACTAATGACAGGGTGTTTTAATTTCATTGCTCTGACCTGAAAACCTAACAGACAGAGGAAAATGTTCTGCTATAACACTCATTGTAGCCGAGCTAATAGCTTCCCCCCAAGTCCTGTAGGGTAAATTTTCCCGATATCTACTTTAGCACTGAAAGGGACCACAAAGCCATACTGAAGGTAAAACAGCTGAGCACAGCCTGTAGATTAGCGTTAAACCTTCAAGCTCCTTATATGGAAGTCTTAGATTGAGAATTAGGTCTCCGTGTGTCTCAGTCAGACTTACACAACAGTCTCTATCTCACAGCTGACCTGAGGGCTAATGTTTCAGCGCACCAGAGCCGGTACTGACGGAATACAGGCTGGAGTCTGTGTGTAAGAGCAGCCATGCGTGTCCATGTGTGCATTTCCTCTGCAAATGTCATATATGCCTGCCTTTGGACATCACATATGAGGAGCACCTCTGTCCGTTTTCAGATGTAAGATGAGATAAAGACTGCTCATCCTTCTAACCAGTCCACTTCAATCAAAGTAGACCAGTGGTGTTACAGAAATCAGGTAACACTTCACATATGACAGACAGGAGCATACAGGCTGATCTATCCCCTCCAGTTGTCAATCTTCACTAATTCAGCATAGATTGACCCATCTTACTCAGTGAAAAGCTGATGTCAGAATGCTGGCTGCAAACAAGATGAGAGGAATTAAAACTTCAGCACAGTTTGCTGTAATGACAGTAAAGCTCTTACTATAATAAGGAAGCTATCTCATTTTAACAATTATCTTAACAGCTGTGTCAGAACATACTGCAGGTCAACTTTAAATGAATGCTAATGTTGCTCTGTGTCTACTGGATGTGTAAACAGGCAAGTTGGCCATATCAGTTTGATATTAAACAAGCATGCGGTCCAACTGAACTTTAAAGAGTAATTACACACACAAATGTTTTTTGAGCTGTTAACACATTACGTTGTACTATTGATAAAATTCTTTGAATACAAGTGTTCTGCAATACAAATGCTGTTTTTATAGGAAGCTAAACTGGGGTTAAACAGCCTCTCTTGGTTTGGAAGTGTAACCCCTGCTGCAAAGCTTCCTGAAACATACTGTATTTGATGACATCATACCCAAGATACCCAGGCGAAACTGATAACACTGATTAGCGCTGCCTCATGTCACTCTAAACAGGACACATTCAGAAATTACAAAACAAATGTAAACAAGATAACCTCCTTCCCTTTACAGGTTATACTTTTATACTATTTTCTATACTGTACTAACTATTAAAACCCCTAGAAAAAATAACTGGATTCACATCATTTATACATAACTTCACCACCTGCCTGCCATTCTGTGGAAAAGAACAATATAGAAAATGATCTAACATACATTGATACTATATAACCAAGAACTTGGGGAGGTGATGTGGATAATAAAACTGGAGGCAAAATAGATTTATAGACTCAATAGTTTGTTTCCAAAAGGCCTGAATAAAGAGCTGGTTCTCACAGTTTTTATAAAGACCTCCAACTCTTTTCAGCTATGAATGATAGTTTCACTTCATGTTTAAATTGTAGTTCAGATGTTGGGTATTTTCAAACTGAATGGATTTAACCTATATTTCTTATAGTTGGTTTGTGGGATTAAATGTAAAAAGGATGTGAATCAAGTTTATAGTTAGGACAGTACAGAAAATTGTGTTTAAATTTAAAGACGGAGGTTACCTTGTACACACGGTGGATTCAGAAAGTATTCAGACCCCCTTCACTTTTTTCAGTTTTGTTATGTTGCAGCCTGACCTACATTCAGTATTCCATAATGACAAAGTGAAAACAGAATGTTTGAAATGTCTGTAAATTTATTAAAAAGAAGAAACTGAAATATCACATGTGCTTAAGTATTCAGACCCTTTGCAGTAATACTTGAAATCTAGCTCAGGTGCCTCCCATTTCTCTTGATCGTTGCTGAGCTAGTTCCACACCTTGATTGGAGTAGGTGTAGAAACAGCTCAGCAACCACTGACCTTTTACATTTAAGGCAGGTACAAACTCCACACATGCTCTATTTAGCCACAGGGTTCTAACCCAGAACCTTCTTGTTATGAGGCGGCAGTGCTAACCACTGTACCACCTTGCCACCCTTTTCACAGACTAAATGGACTCTAAATATGAATGCGCTGTGTGCAGTTAAGCCACTGTAAAGAGACGTTACCTTGTGCAGACTGATTTCTTTTTCATGGTGGTTTTGTGCAACTGCATTTTTGAATTTGTTTCAATTGACATAATTAGCTTGAATGAATGTAACATACATCAGCATGATGATGCAACATCACTTCAAGTTAGTGTTTGTCATCATCTGGAGGGAAGCCAAACACTTGACAACTGTTTAGGAAGCTTGTCTGTGGTGGCAGTATGTATACACCTGAGGTTTGTAATGTGATATAAGATTGTTGGCATCACACAACACGGGGGGAATCTGAGCAAACAAAGCCCTTTTCATCCACATCCATCCCTGGTACATTCAGCCACACAGGAGCAGACTGAACAGTGTCTTACCTCGCTGGCCTTTCATGATTTTCAACCAAGTCGAGACAGCTGACAAGCCCGAGCCTGAGCGGCAAACACCGCCATGTTGCCATGGAAACTGTTTATGAAGACCTTGCAGCCTCTTTTGAAAGATGAAGTGGGTGTTGAGCAGTCAGTGTTTGTGGTTCGACAGCTCTGTCAGTGCCTTAGTGTTTGCCACTGAGCTGCAGTAGGCCTTTTTCCTCTTTATGACCAAAGCAAACAAGCATACCATACTTTTTCCTGGATGACAGAGGGCATCCATCATTCAAGCCTCAGTTCCGGCCACAGAACTTAACACATTCTTCTCTATGGAATCATTTCCATGCCTCCAGTTCTGGTGATTTTCATGTTTCAATCTGGTTCCTCTAGAAAGTCTCTCATGCACATGAAATAAAATTCCCTCTGGGCCTCAGATAAATCTAAACAAAGGCTTTTAAGTTTTGATTATGACTGAAAAGCTGCTAAAATGTGATTTGTGAGACAGTCTGGGTCAGTGGAACAGGCGCCATCTTGTCTCACCTGAACGTGTTGACAGATGAGATGTTGACTTGCCTGTGGGGACAGTGAGCATCTGCTTCTCTTTCCTCTTGTCCTCCTCCCTCTCAGCTCCATTCTCCAGACATCCCCAGCATCCTACAGGCTAAACCTACAGGTTCTGTCTTCTCCTCTTTCTCCTTCAGTCTTTATTTCAGAGGAAAAGGACACATTGCCTGACTGTCTATGCAAGAATTTAAGCAGACTTGAACTAAACTAAAATGAATAAATTCTCAATAAAACTCCCTATTTAAAATGAGATGTTAAAATAAAAAGATTATTTTTTGCTAACTTCAATGACCCCTGCAGAGTTTTTGACCACTAGCAGTGCTGTAGTGGCACGTTGGATGTGTGACTTCCTTTATTGTTTGTCAGGTTCTAACAACTCTAGCATGTATGCAAACATGAGGTTGATAATTGACAGTAAAACCAGAGAAAAGTGCAAGATGCTGTAAATAGCGCAGGATTCCAAACACTAAGGCTTTTGCTGCATAAAATGGTTTCAACATGTTTGTTAAATGTCTTGAGAATATAAAGCCTTCATGTAAATGAAACTGTAAATGTTTTACAATCAAAACTCCACTTATAACCAAGGAGCTGATGTTTTTTCAGTGAAGTGAAATTTCAGTAGTGCTGCCAAAAAATTATTAATTCTTATTCAAATTTATACTAGGTCTGCACTGGCACGTACTGCCTCCAGGAAATACTAATGTGCTTGCACTGTGATAAGCACAAAAGGTCATCAGTGCGGTTATAGTATACTATGCATCTTAACCACCAGCAGGCCTCCAAAGTAAACTGTTTAAAAAAACGTTCTGCTCTGCAGTGTTTTGGGTGCATACTGTCATACTGACAGGGAATCTCAGGGCCAACACGCAGCCTTAATACAGATCTAAAGAAGCACAACGCTTCCTAATAAAAGGTCAAATGGGTCAGCCCTGCCGTATTTAAACACCACTTGGCAACAAGAAAAAAAATGTTTCACAAAAGCATAGAAGTATAAAGGTGTTTACTTTAAGATTTAGCATGTACGTATATATGAAATTCAATTGCAAAAATACTATAAAATATGTTAAACTTTTAATTTGTTATCAAGAGGCTCATTCATAAATTCTTTTCAGACAACAATTCTCCCCACAAAAGAATATGAAAGTATGAACACACTGGACATCTCAGTTCTACTTTTATTGTTTATGGATATGACTGACAACATTTCAACCATGTGTGGGTAGAACACTGTCAGTTGTGTTTTCTTTAAGACCATTTGCGATTAAAATTATGAATATAGAACAAGACAGCAGTGGGGGTTTTTAACTCAGTGACACCATATTCAAGACAGCCCATGCAAGATTTGTGAACAAGCAATGGCCACTTGCCAGACTTAGTTTACCATTATGTTTTGTGCATAATTCAGTGGCTCTATCAGAAGCAGCAGCATTTGTGTTGTTCTAAAAAAAGAGACATTTTAAAAGCTACATCATAGAAAACCAAACTCAAGAACTTATCCAACACACACACACACGTTTTGGTTAACCCTAGCTTTAGCACTTGGTACCTTAATCTATAATATGATCATATCTTTCATTACATATCTTTTAGGGTGAAAGTCAAAATATTATTTTGACCAGCAGTGGAGTACATCCTGAAAGATGTACAACTGTGGGTAACAGTTAAAGAAATATCTCAAATGGGGCTAATTGCACCTGCATTTAGTGTCTCCCAAGAATCTAGAGCATTCATAAAGAATTTGTGAACTTGAATGCACTGTTCAGATGCATATTGATATAGTCCTACAATGAGAATATTCTTAGATTCTTTTGGATTTTTAAATTAGCATTGACCTGCTCAGTGTCTCCGTTTGACCTCAGCCCTCTTTGGTCCTGGATTGCAGCCATGTTGTGAACAAACATTATGAATTCTGCGTGTACACAGAGTGACTACACAAGAAAACATTGCAATGAAAGCTCCTCATTAAAACCTTGGGATGCAGTGTTTTTTGTCTTTTTTTGTTTTTCCTCTAACTGAGACTAGATTTGCTCGGCTCAGTGCCAAACATGGTGCTGTCACGACGTAGAGCTGTTTGATACTTGAGTATTCACACAATACCCTCATTGTGGAGTACTGTCCCGAACAGGCATGAAATGACATTTCATTCAATACTGTGATTCACAGACAGCATGGCTAAATAATGAGTGAGGTTCACAGACTACTAATTAAACATTGCCTTCATTCCAGCTGTCTATCAAACCTGATTACATACTGGAACAATGAGCAGCTAGTGCTCAGGCTTCAGTTCAGTGCATAACCCCTTATTATTCAGGTGTTGGTCTATTCATGTTGTGCTTTTATAATGTTTTAGCTAACACACATGTTCAAATGTATGTTTGCACAGGTGGCCTTTCACATACAGCCATACAGAGGACGGACGGACCAGAGCATGCATGACAACATCAAATACATTATTGACAAGTAAGGTGCTTTTTTGTGCACCACATTTGCTTCCTTTCACCCAGTATGTTAGTGGCTACTGACATTAGAAGTCTAGTGATGTTTTGAAGCATGATAAGGGAAGATGAGGAGCAGGTAGTTAAATATAGATGACTCCCACTTGATCGTGCTGCAGTGGATCAGCAGGTAGCTTTTCCTGTACCTCGAGTGATGTATGAAATATGTTAGATATAGAGAAAGGTATTTAGTAGCAATCTGAAAAATAATAAAGAGGCCATTGCTCTCACACCATAACAGGGAACATGAATAAAGAGTCTCAGTGATACCCAGGCCAGAGTGCATTCAGTTCTGATTTCTGGCCTTTATTTTGCTGCCAATATTTTCAGAAACCCACTTTGCTGACCATCTGTATATAAACCTGGAGAGAGAAGATGATACACTAGTTTAAGTAAAGCATAAATGTTTTATGAATGTCTGGCACAAACTGTGAAATTGTAACTGTATTAAAGGTGCTAGTTGAAATGAATTGAAACATTGTATAGCTACAATCAAACACAAGCTTGGCTAATGCTTAAAGTTACTCTAGTAAGTATTTTATATGTACAGTGATTCAGATGTCTAATGTGAAAGGTGATGCTCAAAGGGCCAAACCCACAGAGATTTGCCCCCCAGTTCGGTAGTGTTCCACAGCTCTGCACAGTGTTTAAGCATTGTTTTGTTTTCCTACCGCTGTCCACAACCTTGTTTCCAGCTGCAACGGACAGCTGTCTTCAGCAAACAAGCTCAAATGACCCTACTGTATATTGCCTGCACACCACCAAACAATATGCGGACCAAATTAGCTGGAGAATTTAGCAGCTGTGCCACAAATCAGAGCTAAAAAGAGATTGAATGCATTTGTCATGTCACCAGAAACACAAATCTGAAGAAAAGCTCATGTTGCTCTGTGTCTACCTGGTGTCTATGCCAACAGCAGTTTTCTAATATCCCAGTCATGTGAACTTTATGAAACTATTTTATGTCAAATGTGTACATACATGTCACTGGCACCATTTCTATTTCTGTAGTGTGTGCAGTTTGGAAATATATATCCTGGTGTGTGATGAAGTAGGAAATCTGATGCGTTTAAACATCTGTAGTAAGGTCAGTAAGTCTCAAGGAACTGTTTTTTGTTAATAATGTGTTTGACTCTGGGGATTCCTAGCAGCAGCAGGGAAGTGAAAAGACCCTGTAGTGGCACACAGCAAAGCAAAACAAGCCATCAGTTACTGCTGTCACCAAATCTTATTTTCAGAGTAATTAGACCAGTGACAACAGCTAATTAAAGCCACTGTGTCATGAAAATTTTCAGTTGGCACATGGTAACATCAAAAAAATGCACGCTGCAATGCAATCTTTATTTAAAAGACTGCCATAGCAACTTTAAAAATGCTTTTCATGCAACTTGAAATTCTCTATCTTATTTTTAACAGGTATGGAAAACATAGCGCCTTCTACCGATTCAAGTCCAGCACAGGGCAAGTCCTGCCTCTGTTTTATGTCTACGACTCCTACCTGACCCCACCAGAGTCCTGGGCAGAGCTGCTGACAGCTAAAGGCTCCCACAGCATCAGAAGCACACCTTACGACGGCGTTTTTGTCGCCCTGATTGTTGAGGAACGCCACAAACATGACATCCTAGCTAGCGGTTTTGATGGAATATACACCTACTTTGCCTCCAACGGCTTCTCCTTTGGCTCGTCCCACCAGAACTGGAAAGCCATCAAAGCTTTCTGTGATGCAAACAATCTGCTTTTTATTCCTAGTGTGGGTCCAGGATATGTAGACACAGCTGTTCGGCCATGGAACAACCATAACACCAGGAACCGGGTGAACGGACGATATTACGAAACATCCCTGCAGGCAGCTCTGTCTGTCAGACCAGAAATTGTCACCATTACGTCCTTTAACCAATGGCACGAAGGAACGCAGATAGAGAAGGCTGTACCCAAGAAAACACTGACCCGTTTGTATCTTGACTACCAGCCCAACCGACCAGACCACTACTTGGAGCTTACACGCCAGTGGGCCGAGAACTTCAACAAGGAGAAGGACAAATGGCTGATGTAAACAAGGTTTTATCTCCCCAGTAGATGCCCTGAGCATGATCCCAAATGACACTAGGTCAGCTCTCACTGTTTAAAGACAACAACTTTGTCTGTACACTGAGCACTCCTGATGAGGTTTCCCTCAAGTGTTCACTCTGCCTTCACTGTTTTCAATCACTAACAGTTCTGTACAGGTTTAATAATGTTGCAGTTAATATATGTTGTAGCCACAGGGTCATAATAATAGACAGATAATAATCTTTTCTCAATAACAAATCTGAATCTTGTTGCGACATCAAGAAAGTGTGGCTATGTACAGTAACTCTGCTCTGTGAGGTTATTTTCTTATGGTAAAAGACTGTTCTTCTCTGCCGTTCCTTGAAAACAAATAAAATGTCTGTTTACTGTTGGAGAATTAGTGTTTGATGTAAAGTGAGGTGTCTCAAACATCTGCCCAGGGTTGCAGCTACTGAGGTGCAGGCAGAAATGTATCAGGTCCTAACAGCTAAACTCTAAGACTTCAGTTAGTTCCGTACTTGGAGGCTCCATTTCTAGATGGTGAAATACTCAGCCATTCAACTTTAAAAGGGGCTGTGCAGTATTTGAAAGATGGCGCAGAACTAGAAGTATGGGTTTTATAGTTTGCTGTGTTGCTTGTATTCTTTTTAACACCTGACAGCATTTTAGTGAGAGAGAAGGAACACCAGAACAGAAGTAAGTCACTTTCTATTCAGACTGGTTTGTTGCTTCTTGGCTTTGTTAGCTAGCCTGTCCAGTGTTGTTATTAATAAAACCTTGTGATTGTTTCCAACAGTTGATTTGGATTATGTTCCCAGACCTGCATTAGCAAGAGGTTTGCTCACGTGTCAAAGGACCAAAGGCTGCATTTTCAAGCATCTTGTGCAACTATTTGAATGGAGCTGAGCTAAAAGAGGAGGAGAGGTGTAGGTGTTCAAATAAACCTCTCTTTAACACTCCCATACTAACACCTAGACATTTTAAACAGCTGTCAGAACTTGTCATACTGAATTCATAAACCCATGGAGCAGCTTTTAGTGTGCAGACTTGACTGTAGTTAGTTTACAAGGGCTGACAGTCTCCTGTGTAATTTACCAGTGAAGCCTGAGTAAGTGCCTCCATGCCAGGCAGTTGGAAGTGGAACACATCAGGCGTAGTGAACCAACCAGTGTCCATGTAGCCTGGCTGCAGCTTTCGTGATTGAGAAAGTATTGGAGCAAAGCGGATCCCTCTGGACACTCTAATGCCACGCTTTAATGGCTCTGCCCCCAGAAAACCTGTGCCCATGAAAAAGACATGCTAGTACCAGGCTGCCAGCAGCCCTTTTACAGATATCAGGCGTCAGAGCAACTAATCATTACTAAACTAGAGACTGTATTTAAAAGACAAGTGCAGAGGGTTCCCTTGGAGCCTTTGCAATAAACGTTAGATCCTTGTGGAAAACAAAGTTTTCACTGAAACTCAGGAAAATAAAATACCATGACCACTACTACTAGCACTACTGAAGATTTGTGCCTGAACTGCAACCATTAACTGCTGTTTCTGGTTTGCAAGTGCCCAGTGCTGGGGTGTAATCTGTCGTTTTGCCCTTGCAGCACAGCCTCGGCGGTAGAGATGAAACAGTATGAAAAGGCCAACAACTGACATAAATACAGAGGTGTATGGTGTTTCTCCTGTTGGAACAGTTTTGCACCAAGTTAATGATGATATAAATGAACAAAAATATGTTGGTTGCATGGCTAAACTACAAAACGTGTTATTGTGTGCATAGAGTCATGGGCGTGGGGGCTGCAGCCAATCCCATCTGACATTGGGCGAGAAGCAGGGTCCACCCTGGACAGGTCGCCAGTCTATCACAGGGCCGACATGTAGACAAACAAGGCCCCAGGTTCGAACCCGGAACCTTCTTGCTGTGAGGCGACAGCACTAATTCTTGTGTGTGCATATGTGTGGTGTGTGTGTGTATGTACACGTGCGCACATGTGTGTGTGTGTGTGTGTCTGGGTTTGGGGGGAGGGAGTATATAAATGAATACAAAATCCTCATAACAGATATAATATTAGAAACAAATACAACAACCACAAATTAATAATAATAGCGGTTACTAATGAGCTTGGCCCAAGCCGGTCCCTGCACAAGCCGTGACGGAACACCAAGGCGCAAGGTCCAGCCTCCCTGTCCTGCTTCTGAAAAAGTGGTTTCTTGGCTGCTGTCCTTCCACAAAGGCCGTTCCTGATCGAGGGTCTTCAGATTGTGGAAGGATCAACTTGACACCCAGAAAAGCTGCCAGATGCTGAGCCAGGTCATTGCTGGATTTCCTCTGGTCTCTCAAAGAAGAAACTTTCTTGGTCTTCCACTCCTGTTTTTGTCCTTGACCTTGAATGACCAGTTTGTTTCCCATTTATTCCACTGAATTTTGTGGGACCATTTGACATAACTATACTGCTCAAAAAATAAAGGGAACACAACATAAGACATCCTAGATCTGAATGAATGAAACATTCTTATTAAACACCTTGTTCATTACATAGTTGAATGTCTTATTTTCCCTTGTGTTCCCTTTATTTTTTTGAGCAGTGTATATTCAGTAAGTGCAACATTTCAGTTCATAGAGCATACCAGCACCATCTACAGGCGTTCTTACTCAGATAAAATGATATGAAATCAAATACACAGTTATATGCAAAGTATGGGCGTCCCAGGGCAAATGAGACATTTTGTTGATTTGAAAAAAGTAAACAGGCTCCCTTGCATCAAACATTCTTCAAATGTTAATGCACTAGTTTTTGTTATTTCACAAACCTTTTTGTAAAATGTAAATGTGGTATGTGCTAAAGTTCAGGCACCTTTCTACTTTTAAAATACTCCAAATGTAGGAGTTGTCATAACCGGGCCCAAATGGAATATGCGCCCACAGAATTCCGATGCCACCTCCGCAGATTTTCCACAGATTTTGAAAAGAAAGTACAAACTAGGAATGTAACCATGTGTTTGCCCACGCCTGCATATGCCCAACATTTTGTGATGTTGTCAATGTGTTTCTTGTCATTTTCCAAGCCAAGGATCTGACATTCCCATCTACTTCACACCCTGACTGGCTGGTTGCACGTCTCTGTCTAGCGCTTCTTTTCGCTAACACAACAATCTGCGTCATGTCACCTTCTAGAGCTGTTCACCTCAATAACCTATGTGAACAACCCAGGTTAATGTCTGTTAACAAAGATATTGTGTCCTGACCGGACTTTCTGAAAACGTGCACCGTTCTTCCAACTCTTCCCTCCCCCTCCTTTTTTTACACTGTAGTTGGTCATTAGCCTACATCTAAAAAAAAATAACTTTGTATTTGAGTGGCCATTAACTTTTATGCTGGTGGATTTTCCAACAAATGTTCACACTTTGAGTGTCTTGAAATGTCAATGAAATAAAAATTTCTCAAATTTAAAAGTCCATATAAAGAGATTTCTTTCACACTACTCAAGATTATTTTTGCTTCAATGCATTTTTGTGTTTACTTTTGTTAAAAAAATAATCATTGTTAGCAATAAATAAATAAATAAATTACTCCGCAGTACTCTGTAGGTTTCCATCCTGAACAGCCACAGAAACCTGTAAAGAAAAGAAAAACTAATCCACCGACTCAGTTTGAGCCTGGTCATAAGGAATTGTCATCTGATTTTAAATTCTCTGACTTTTCAAAATGCTTCCAGCCTGAAATGTCCACTTTAATTATTATTAACTGTCATTAAAAATGGACAGTTAAAGGAGCTACGCAATTTCCATATCAAACTGCATGTCTGCAAAGCTAAACCCCAATATGACTGCAAAGGAGCAGCAGGAAGGTTTAGCTGACACAGCAGTGGTGGTGCACTGTTTTGGTTGAGAGTGCTGACTGCGCAAACAGGGTCTGCATGGAAGATGATATTACAGTACTTCAGAGTACCCCAGAGTCAGTGTCTGAAGTGTACACAGCAACATCTGAACCAGTTTGGGAACAAGTACTGTAGGCACATGAAATTCAAATGGATCTCTTTGGACAAGAAGGAGAAGAAGGTGGCAGGATTTGATGAGGAGAACACCCTGTCGACTGTTAAACCCAGGGTCTGGAAATATTCTGCTTTGGGGCTGTGTGGCAGCCTGGGGCACAGGAAACACAGAAAGAATGGAGTCCACTAAATATCAGCACATTCTGCATGCAAATACCACCCAACAACAATCAGTCATATCTCAAAATGCATTGTGAACCACTTCTAGAAACACAAGCTGAAGCTTTTCAGCCTTGCAGCCTTCTGACCTGAACAGCTTGGAAAATCTGTGGATCATTAACAGGCTGTGTCAGGACCACCTAAAGTATAAAAAGACTGTTAGCATCTGCAAGTTGTGATATCTATGAAAGGGGGTGTGGGGTGCTAATCATTGATAAAAATGTAAAAGTTAGATTTGATTTTATTGGTTTTAAATTCATGAAAAAAAATCTAAAAGTGCACAAACACTTAAAGAAAAGTTTTTTGCAGCAGTGGTTCTTCTTTTCATTTAAAAAATAAAAAGCCTATATTTCATGTACAACAGCAAAAACCTATACAGAACATGAGCATGTTTATTTACAATATTCTCCTGGACACAAGAGCCCCATCTAGTGGAGTTTACAGGCTTGGAAGCAGTTCACTCACTGAAAATCATTTAGCAGGTGTGTGATGAACAGTTGCATGCTGGGGAAAAGTCAGGGCAGACACGTTTCTGCGTAGAAACTGAGCCTATCCAAGGTGGAAGAACTCTTTCATGTCATACTTATTGCTCACCTGGACACTAAGTAGTGGCTAGTTCTGCAACTACAATCAGTTTTGATCAATTCAGCATGTGAATGTTAAACAGTTGTTAATAAACAAACATTGGTTCAAATTCTCTGGTCCATTGGATACAGTCTTCCTGTTGAATCAGAGAGGGAGAAGCATGTGTGGCGGATGAACCAGCCAAGGGAATTTTATACAAGTTGACATCAGTAAATTGTTGGCTAAGTGTTAATAAAGCCATTAATTATAACTTGTACAGCTGGTTGTACGGGACTGGTCTTAAATTTAACCCTAGATTTAAGTGACCTTCTAAAATAGATGAACAGAAACCAGCTTTTTCAGTCTGGGTTTGAAATAGTCCTAGATTTGTCTTAGCCCTAAATTAACCAAACTGATTTCCTGAAAGAAGATTCCAGGACTAATTTAAGATCTAAATTAAACCTCCCAGGAGGCAGGTTTAACTTCAGATTAATGTTGTTTGTCAGAGAAGACACATGGATTATCTGTACTATGTTAATGAATACGCCTCTTGTCTGATGTCAACTGGGATTGGCTCCAATCCCCCATGACTGTCAGGTTTGCCCGGCTGCACCTTCCTCTCTTACTGGTTTTGCTTCCTCACCCTGATTACACAATCTGACACACCTGCCCCTGTGAGGCGTGTTCTTTTTTTAATAATGAAAATCACCCTAACACCCACTTCTCCTGAGTGTCACCAGCTGCACCTTATTAGTTTCCCCTCCCTACTTATACCCTGCTCACCATTCACTCCCTTGCCAGTTCAATCCATATTCTCAGGCCCCTTTGCTCATGGTTTCTTTCTAGTCCTCCAGTCATACCCTCTCTTAGTCCAGACGTTTTACTCTTTGCTCCTGCTTACCCTAGGTCTCCTTGTCTCCAATATCCTCTCATCCATTTTCCTGCTGTTCTCTCCTTTACTGTGGACCTCTCCTCTGGACCCTGGAACTACTCGGCCCTGCCAGTCTCCACCATACAGGTGTACAGTCCCCACTAACTATCTATGCCTGCTCCTGTCTCCTCAAGCCATGATCACTTCCACCACGACCAGTTCAGGAGTGACCCCAGCGTCCGCAGCCCGATCTCTACCACCCATCTCATCATTAACTCTTTTCCTCTGCAGCAGATCGACACCCGGTGACTCTTTATCATTTCCCAACTGTCTGTTTATTTCACTGTGACGTGCACTGTAAATAAATCTTACACTACTTGCACCGAAGCCAGCTACCTGGGTCCGTCTTATTTGCTCATTCATTGTCGTGTCCGAGCAACCGTAACAGTGACCCTGTTCGGGAATTAGTGGAATAGATAATGGATGGATGGATGTCGATGAATAATGACGAGTACCACCAGCAAGACAAGTTCTTGCTGACAGAAGTGAGCATTTTAATTCACACCCTGAAAATACAGGGATGCCAAGATCCTCCAAAAAAAGGATGACAGTCCAGATGTATTATTACAAAGATGCTCTTGCATTGTGCAATTTAACTTATAAATTGTTATTATTGTCATTATTATTATTAATCAATTACCTCTGGTGCCATACGCTCTGATCAGATAACATTTCACAGGTAATAAGCAAACAAAATATATCTTACAAGGAAAGGTTCATATGTTGTCTGGTATGTTGCAGAAACAGGCAACATCCAACACGAGTTAATAAAACTGTTTTTATTTCCCTGTTTTATGCTTTGATGTAACATTTGAGCCAATTGCCTCTCTCATTCTTTCATCCTCATTTCCATTTCTATTTGCAGTCTTCATTTTCATTTCATTTTCTCCTGTTTAACATAATCAGGCTTGTGAAATCCAATAGCCAGGTCCTCCAGCAGCCAGTCGGGTTTCAGCAGCAAATGTTTGAGGTTTATTTTCATATTCTATCATATTTTATATTCCACAACACCTGCATTGAATAAACACTGTAATGTCAACCCAGTGAGTTCATAAAGGAGTAATGTAATAAAGCTGGTAAATTCCTTTTCTTTGAATCCACAACTGATGCTTGCTGTCTGTGTTCACTGATGTTTTGAAACCATTTCCTCAAACTCACTAAACCATTTATTCCTTGTGTTTTAATAATACTTGGCAAAGTTAGTTTGATTGACTGATTGATAAAGGGTTCTCTGCTAGAATGCAGGCCGTGATTTTGCGCAGTGTTGGCATGTTTAGATTTAGATGTTGGCTTCTGGGTGAACTCCTGAATCTCACTTCCCTTCAGTGATATTAATCACACTACACAGATTTGCAGGAATAGCACGACACATCAGTGACATCAAAATCGTCGTCTCATTTTATTCCTGCAAGGACTGCTTACAAGTAATTTCAGCCATAACTGTTGACTGTATGCACCGAGCAGAAAAATGATATGAAAGATGAGACGCTCATATATACCTGCTTCCAATTTAGAAATGAAACCAATCAGTCGTGCCGCTTCAGACTAATGTGAACGTGGCTGATTCAGAGTATCATGGTACCTCATAGATTTTGGTTTAATTGCTTTTGCTTGTGTGCAAACAAATTAAATATTAACTAGAGAGCCCAGAGGGCTGTGGGAGCAGGTGACGGGCCTGTTACCACAGCTGCATTGCATTGTGATTAATGGTAATTATACATGATTTTCACAGATGAAGCTCCCATATTTGTGCAAAATCCAGTAACTCGATTAATGATCTTGCTGATCTTATGTTTTGAATGTAATGAAATACCTAGAACATGCTTCTGGACCAAAACAACTTGTGGGTAATTTGGTGCGAGACAAAAGCTGGAGATGAAAACATTTACATATGTCAAATAATCTTCGACACTTTTACGGTTCATTTGTTAATGAATCCTCTCACCACACATTTCTGCCTTCCAGAAAGTCTAAGCTGGTTTGGATCATAACCTTTGACTGATGAATGTCTGAGGACCAAAACCTTGTCAATACACGAGCAGCGGTTTGTGGGAACATTTGGTTTGTTTAGTCATTTAGTGATTCAAGTTGTGGTTCCAACTCTACTCTCTGCTCCTGTGAACCAGTTGACACCGCAAATGACTGTATCTTAACATGTGTCAGACAATAGTCCGTCCAAGACGTACACCAGGCAAAATGTTCAGAATATAAAAAAATTCTCCAGCACGTTGACGCAATAGTTTTATTAATCAGTTATCCAATCAATTGACCGGTAGAATATTCATCAGAAGCTATTCTGATAATTAATATTTTGTTGTGATAAACTGGTGACCTGTCCAGGGTGGACCCCCCCTCTCAGACCCCTGCAACCTATAGATAATGTATGAATATATCTATAAGCTATAGATAATGGATGAGTTGATTAAAATATGACTTTTCAAACACAGAATGCCAAAAACCGAATAACTTCAGCTCTTTAAATGCAAAACGTTTGAACAATTCCTTATATTACACAATGCCACTAATTTTAAGCCATTTTCCTTTAATTTTAGCATAACTGTCCACTCAATCAATTCTCTACAGTCTTTATGGCATCGTATTCAAAATGTAACATTAAACATTTATTAGCTGTGAATACAAATATTTGCTGTGCTGTACATGAATTCATAAACATGCATAGGGTCTATATTTATTAGATAAACAGCTAATTTTCTGTTGCTCCCTCAGAGTAAACTGAACAGAGCACACGAACCCCGCTGCCATCACTACTGACCCACTGAAGGTTATTACACCATAAACGGCTGGCATCAGGTCTGCCTTGTAGGCATCTATCAATCAGTGACTATGAGGTGATAGCACATTTGTGCTCATGAGCAGACTGTGCTTCATGTGTGCCGGCAATAGCACAAAATGCCTTTCACGTCTTTAGTGCCCATTTTATTTTGCTATTCTCACAGAGTGGCCTTGCGTTCTTATCACAAGAGCTTTGATGTCTATGACAAAGTTCCCTGCAGGAACCATAAAGTTTATCTTAAATATCCTGCCCAACCACATGATGGTATAAAACCAGAGTTTTTTTTCCCCACAATATGTAAAAGAATAAGTGGAATTATGATTTACATTGGATGCAATTTCACAGAGACGCGTTTTGTTAGGGCAGCCTGTCAAATACTGTATGTGATCCACCTATTCTCTGCCAGTAGAAAACATTAAAACACTCAGGTTTTGTTTCAATCATACATTTGTTATCACGGAAGACAGGATATAACCAGGCAAGCTTCCTTGTGATGAAAGTAGATACAACTATCAACGTTTTAATGTATCGCTCAAGTGTTTAAATCCACTTTCAGACAGTACAAGTTAAAACATGGCTACAAGTCAATGCCACCAGTAAATCAAGCAGTCAGAGGTCTGTTTCTGCACAGCCACTGTAAAGTCTGAACAATGCTCCTAATAAACCGTTTTGCCCGCACAGCAAACGGAAACACATATGTGACTGTGTTAATATGTTTGAGTTTATTATAATGATCAATGGTTACCACATTTCAACATTATCAAAGCAAGGAACAGAAGGAAGGACACAGTGTGTCAAACATCACTACTTACAAATAAGAAGAAACATAGAAATGAGTGACAAAATACTGAAAATGTGATCTTCAATCTACAACAAGCCTTGTCTCTTCAGATCCTCGTAAGTCTTCTTATTGACCACATTTCCACTCGAATCCTCGTACTCTTCCTGAAAACATACAAGTCAAGGAATAGGCATAACTATTGACAAAGGAAAGCATTAGATCCCTACTAGCTGTGCTCATTCCACTGGTGTGGACTCACCTCTGTGTCTGGCTGCCAGCGCTCTGAAGCCTTCTGGGACTTCAGTTTTGCCCACACTCGAGTAAGAAGCAAAACACAAATGGCTTATTAAAACCTCCACGATTCTATAAAATTCAGATGTTCATAACAAGCTCAAAACACAGCTTACGAGAGACGGCATCCTCGATCTGTGTGACGTTGGCAAAGTGAGCAGTGTTGGGGATTCCAAGACAGCGCATTCCATGGGCGTGCCTCCATTCCTAAGGAACACAGAATCAAAGACACTACAGTTTTGGACTTCAACATTTGATGTCACATTGTACTGTCTCCTGCTTCTCATTGTTAAACCTGATGTCCTTGATAAAACAACAACATACCGCAAAGTGTCTCTGGAAGGCCTTGGGTCCCCTGTAAGTGTAGTTCCCACAGATCTCACAGTTGTAGTTGATGTTCAGTCCGTGGAGTTTATAGAGCCAGTATGGAATTGGCTGCAGGGTAAAAAATAAAAAAATAAAAATTAAAAAACCAGCAGTCAACAAGCACACAGCCAAAGCTAAAAAATTAGGGTAACAGATGAACATCACATACAAGCAGAGCAACCCAAAAATGTGTCAAGATGCAAAGAATAAGCTTCCACAGATGTCTGATGCTGCACCAAAGAAGTACTTAATTATTAAAATTCCATATAGTCAGTGGACTCAAAATAAACAGTCAGAACTGATGAGGCACAGGTAAAGATATCCTGGCTTTTACTCCAAAAAGTAAGTAAAATGTGCAATCAAGATGCAAAGAATAAGCTTCCACAGATGTCAGTATAGATTTACAGTAAAACTATGTTATTAGTTGCATGGTCAGGGACCACCTGCAGTACCTTCACAGACCAGCAGGGTTTGAAAACCCTTATCATGCTTCAAGCCTGTTTCACCACAGACGACACAGCCACCATCACTTGTGGCTGTAGTTCACCTGTAACCACGCCCACAATGATGTCACAGTGCAGGATTACATTTGCACTTCATTTTCTACCAAATGCTTCAAAACTCAAACTTAATTTATTCTATAGCATCTAACAAACTTTCTATTTAAATTTTATTAAGAACATGTCATATATAGTTCAATCATGCGTCACATACCAACTGTTCAGACACAGGGATGCAAGTTCTGTTTCTACAGTCCAACACCAGCAGTCAGATGACTTCATTCAAAGCCATGTTCAACGGTGTACATGTTATTTTGTGCAGGAGAACTGATGCATCTGTACACAGGTGTCACCTCACCTTGCCGTCCCAGCCCAGCGGCAGGTTCTTGGGGTTGTAGATGATCTCGTTGTCTTCATCTTCACTCTCGCTCTCGCTGAGCTGCTCCTCCTCCTCTTCCTCACGCTCCTCTCCGGTCCTTGCCTGCTTCCTCTGCACATTCTCATGAGTCAGCTGCCTCTGCTCCTGCAACCACCGACAACATCTGTCATCACAACTGTCACAGTCAGGGAACTGGTTTGTCACAACGTTGGCTCTGACCTTTCATATGAACTCAACAGCAGAGTTCATATAAACACTCACCCCAAGGATCTCCACATATTCATAGACTTGAGCTTCCAGGAAGGCAATTTCTTTGTTACGTTCTACATCTCTGTAAAAGTGACACATGGACATTGTTAGGACTTATGTAAGAAACACAATCATAGGTTGCTGCCTGCTAGACTGACAGTGTACACCCTCTTACTTTTTAGGGCCTTTGACTTTAAGATTCTTGGCAAACAGTGAAGGGTCCAGTGATTCCAGGGATTTGCCTTTAGTGCTGAAGAGTCTTTGAGCTCTCTCCTCCAGAGTCCTGCACAACATGCACACATCAAATAAGTTGCTTTAATCACGACATGTTCTCTACATGTTCCAATGACAATGATATGCACTGATGGTGGAGTTATTTTTTTTTATTGATGCCTACTGAGGTTTCAGGGTCAGAAACAGAGAAATTCCCATTCTGAGTCATTGCCTGCAGTCTGAATGAATGTACCACACAAGCTGGAACTATTGAGAGGCCCATGTCTGACAGCAATGTTCAGTGCTGGAAACTCTACATGACAGCTGCAGGGCTGTCAGAACACACTACCTTCTTACTGGGGGTCAGGAACCACAGCACAGGAAGTAGAACCAGATTTCTTACATGACAGTGGCACAGGCCACCAATCAATCCACCATGTAGAGAAGACGTGTGTAATCAGTGGTTTAAACAACATGCTCACCCGCCACACTTCAGTCCCAATGCCATCAGAGCAGACTTAAGTCTGTCCAGACCCAAAGAGGCCAACTCCTTGGTGAAAGAATATGACAAACACATCAGCAGAGCCAAAAAGGAACAAAGTCAGTAAAAATGTTACCTGATAAATCATCAAGTATGAGCATGCTGACTTTGTACCTCCCAAGAAGAGAAAGCAGAAAGGTCCAGGTGAGCTCCAGCATGGGTCAGAGCACTGCTCGTCTCTTTCTGCAGTTCAACAAACCAGATCAAGAAAAAACAAACAAACCATGACGTCAGAGGAGGGAAACGACTACAACCTGAACCATAAGCACATGTGAGAAAAACGTACAGGCCAGCCTGGAAAGGTCCCGTTCTCCCACTTTTTCTCAAAGTCTGACAGCACTTTGCCGTACAGCTCGTTCTGGTCCAGCAGAGGTTTGACCCTGTCTGTGTAGTCCTGCAGGTACTCCAGAAGCATCTCCAAATACCTGCGCAGACACACACCACATCACGTTAGCCACACAGAACTGTTGTCCAAATCTAACACCAATATAGGTTATCTGTTTTATTACTGAACAGGTCCATCACAATTTAGGGCAAACATGAGCTCATTTTCTTGTCTCAAGCACCTTCTACTCTTACTCAGGTCTCAGCAGTGAGTTCAGATGGGAACAAGTATGGTAAGCTTACTTTTTGTATTCAGCATTTTTCCTGTCCTTGGGGATGTCAAACAGCTGGTCGAATGAAGACAGGTAAGTGATGTACTCGGGTTTCTATTGAAAGAGACAGCATAGACATTAGATAAAAAGATAAAGATGGTGGTGAAAAATGGATTTAGCAGACTTAAAGGGACTGTAACCTCAACTCCCTTCAAGTTGATGTACTTCAGGTAGCAGTCATGGAGATCCAGGTACCGGCCGTATCCTTCCTCATCAGTGAACTCCACCAGGTCTGTGAAAGATTACAGATGTGGCAGCTGACTTATGCATCCAGATCAGTGTGTTAGGTAATCAGAACCAGTCTTAACCCGTTTAATTTTAACCAGGATAGATCCTTCTGGTGGTCAGCTAACCTGCTACATGGCAAGCTAACATTAGAAAGGCAGGCTAAGCAAGTCACCCGTCTGAATTTAATACAACATGGACTGCATACTGCTTACAAATGACAGTCACAAATAATAGACAGAATGAATAATAGTAGGAGGGGTAGTCCTGAGAGTGATGTGTGCGCGGAGCAGCACAAACCATCTGTTTTGCCTAACAATACCAACACTGGAGGGGCTTCAGTCTCTGTCCCTAAGTGGCCCAACCAAAGCCCAGACTTAAACTGCACAGAACATCTGTGCAGAGACCTGAAGACGGCAGCTCACAGATACTTCCCATCCAATCTGACAGTGCTTGAGAGAGTCTGCCAGGAGGAACTGGATAACCTGCTCAAATCAAGGTGTTCAGAGCTTGTAGAGACTTGGCCAATAAGACTGGAAACTGTACCCACTGGGAATTAAGGTTAGAATGCTTTTATAATTGAAAGATTAGAGTTTTTGATTTACAAAAAGGCCTAAAATTATGTTTCCACTTCATCATTATGAGTTAAGAGTGTAGACTGATGGGTAAAAATACATTTTTTATAAATTTTAAATGAACTGTACAGAGTGGGGCGGGAACAGTGGTGAAGCGGTTAGTGCTAGTGCATCACAGCAAGAAGGCTCCGGGTTGACGCAGTGCTTTTTGTTTGCAGGCTCTCCCTGTGCCTGCATGGGTTCTCTCCGGGTACTCCAGCTCCCTCCCACAGTCCAAAGACACGCAGGTTGATTGGTGACTCTAAATTGCCCATAGGAGTGAGTGAGTGTGAGTGGTTGTTTGTCTGCATGTCAGCCCTGTGACAGACTGGCGACCTGTCCAGGGTGAACCCCGCCTCTCACCCAGTGTCATCTGGGATTGGCTCCAGCCCCCCACAACCCTATTCAGGAATAAGTGGTATAGATAACGGATGGATGGCAGAAAGTGAAGGGTTCTGAACACTAACACAACTGTATATTAGAAATAATAATGTAACTGTTAAGAGGTCAGGGCTCCAGACTAACATTTCATACTGGTGCCACCATCTCAGAGACTTGGTGGCACCAGTACATGTAACAAACTATTTTTATAAGAATACCTATGAGGAACTCAACTCATAGAAGAAGTGCACTGTATTTTTTGGCTCTTAATCCAGTGCACTGTATGTGGTGTGACCGATTCCTGTCCATTACCCATTGAGCTGCAAATGAAACAGCTTCTCTGCTGCAGCATTAGCATCAGATCCAGTGTCACCCACAGCAGGGACATGTATGTTGAAAGGTGTTTGTTTCTTTGCCTCACACAAGCCTCCACACTCCATTCAAATGATTCCCTCTTCAGAAGGTGATCTAATGTTACAAGACAACTCTTCTATATCTGTGCTGTACTGGGACCTCATGGTTGAGTGCCACCTTTTTTGTTCCATCAACATTATTGCAAAAATCAATTTTAGCATTTGTGAGCCAATTCAAAATTGTAGAACAAATGTGAATCGATTTTTTTCAACCCACCCCTACTAATAAGTAGGGGTGTGACAAGACCTCATGTCACGGGATCTTGAGATATTAAAATAAGATATTTCTCATCATTACATTTCTGACCATACATTCAGTCTGGCAAAAAGTAAATCCCTGCTGTGTTTTACACATGGGACTGCGTTGGTCAGGGGGTGAGGGGTCGCAGGAGTGTTGTAGTAGTGATATGGCCACATTGTGACAAGTCGATGTGTCTTCATTCACATTTCCAGCCTGTTTGTTTCCGCTGTGTTTTGGTTGGCCATGCTGCTAACGTAGCCTAGTCTACCTTAGCTCCAATTCTACCACCAGTGTGTCAGCACTGATAGATAAAAAAACACAGTTTAACATCCAGTACTAATGAAAATGCAAGGCAAGCCATTATGGTGTGTTAATTGTGGCCCATATTCAAGATAAACAAAACAGCCTTCTTCCTGTGGGCATCCACGACCCGATCGTCGCCCATACACAACTGGTCAACACAGCACCTTTGCCAGATGACGTCACTGTCCGGAGCAGTCAAAGCTGAACCACACCCAACTTCTGCTCCGCATGGGGTAGCATCATTTTACCTGCGGTGCTAGTGCCTGCTGTAGTGAACACAATTCCCCATAGAAATGACTAGGGAGAGTTGTGTTTTTTCACACCTTTGAAATTCAGTCTTCAGTTATAAGGTCTGAGAAGACTCATGTGAAATCAAACAGGAGAGAGGCAAGTCAGTTAAATTTGTTGGAAAACCTTTTACAGTGCTTGTATATTGTTGACTTTTACTGCATATGATAATTCCTACTCAGAAAGTAGAATTTAAGTGACATTCATTGGTTGAGACATTTCAAAATACGCCTGCATTGTTTTGCATTTTGTGATTTTTAGTAAAATAAAAGATATTTTTTCCATTCATAGATTTCATCATTGACGATTTCTTTAAAACCGTTTAAATGTCATCTCAACCCATTTTCATGAACCTATTATCATGTGCTGTCTTGTCTCGTGAGCTAAGTGCATAGTCACATCCCTACTCATTAAGGCAAAGAAAGAATTTAATTGTACAAGGAAACACGTTTCCTAATTGTGCACATGACAAATAAACACTTTGACCTTGACCAATGTAAGGTTTGCTCAACTGGACCATGACACAAATAGATTGGGTATGTTAAAGTTCTATTCTGCGGCAGAATCTCATGTTTTCCTGTTACAGTAGATTTGGTCTTACTCTGAGCCTCCTCGCTGGGGTTGTCTCTGGCCTTCATCAGCTCCTCAAACTCTGCAGACATGGGAATGGAAATCTACAAGAAATCCAAACAGCAATATTTTTTAATATGCAGTTTGAGAATATTTCCACTGTGTAATTTGACAATGTACAGAAGTCAGCTACCTCATTGGGGTGCTTTCTGTGAAACTCCTTTATTTGCTTCAGTCTGTTGTAGAACTCTGCAAACTCATTTGGTCCCGAAATGGCACTAAGTTCATCCCTCCTCATTCTGTTGATAAGAAAAAGATTTTCAGGTTCAGTGTTAACAGGTTAGGTGATTGCTGAGTATTGTATCTTAAATGCAATAATGCCCATAAACAATCAAAATAATTAATGCACTGAGTACAGTTCCTCCTTCAAAGTTACAAAAGAATAATATTAATGGAAAAAAAACATTCTGAAAGCAGGTATTAACAAGTCATAGTACTGGGATCCTTCAATAATGCCTGTGATGTGGAGAGGAACCCTTCTTACACATCTGGATCTGAAACACATTAGTCACTTACCCATCTTTGTCTTCATAGGAGTCTCTGAGATTAGCACTCACATCCATATACCTCTGTCAAAACATAAAAAAGACCATCAGGTTGTCTTTGTTTTCAAGGTCAACATTAACAAAGGCCATAACTTAGTAAAATAAGACATGCATTCTTCTTTTATATGGACAGCATGCCTCACCAAACTAGTGGGACTACAGTCTCTTCGCACTCTAACAGCAAACAGTACCCTGCTGTTTTGTCTATTAATGTACTTCTGGTCTTAAATGCAGACCAAGAACAGAGCTTTGTTATTTCAAGGCTTTAAATGTTCTGTTTCAATATCTGGTTTGCACACAGGTCATATCTCAGTGGAGTTAAGAAATTAACCAATCGTAAATGTTGAAACTGTACTACAGTAAAACCTGCTCCATGGATCACTTGCACGCAGAACAATCCTAAACCCTTAAATGACAGCAACGGTACAGATTCATTTAACTAGAATGAAAGACACAACTTTTCTGAGTGATTTTTGCTCAGGTATGTAGCTATCTTACTCATTTCATTTTTTTAAACTCTTGCACGTACTTACTAAAAGTAACAGTAGTAAAATTGCGTATAAATTACACTTTACTAACATGTTAAGGTTACCTCTTTAACTTCTAGGCTAACGTTAGCCAACCGGTGTTAATCTTTTAACGATATAACAAATCAAAACTCTTGCTTACATCCAACATTGCTCTTGTTCGATGGTCAGAGTTAATCTGTTCCCGTAGCTGCAAGAAAAAAGAAACACGATAACATTACATGTGATGTTACCGATTTACCTGGAATCGGTTTCTGGTGTGTGCATTATTTGGTTAGCATTAGCGCTAGAGACGTAGCATAAGCAGGCCAGCTTACCGTGGACTTCTTGTGTAACATTTCTTTTGTTTTAGCATCCATTAGCCTTTCTTTCTCTTCGTGATAACGACGCAGTTGCTCTAAAATCGTTTCCATTGTTTCAAAATGTACTGGACGCTTACTACAGACAAGAAAAGGCTTTTACCTATCTAGCAAAAACAAAATGAGAGAAGGCGCCACCCACCGAATGGTCTACGTTAGATTCCAATGGCGCATGTTGATATTGAGGAGTTAGCGTCCGTCACTGTACAGAGCGTAAAGAAACATCGACCACACGACATAGTTCCTTTCAAGTAAGATGGTCAACAGATGTGGGCAGAAGCATTTAATTAGTTGAATAGTTTACGAAAGAAATATGCTATATATAATCAAAAGCCTACGGGAACTTATTGTTTTCCACTTGCTTTGTAAACTTCGCTATCATCAAAGCCTGCCATAACGCTTAAGAGAACACAGTTTGCGCGCACTCGCGTAGGAGCGCGCACGGAGGCGGTCTGATTTGTCAAGGTATAGTAATAAAGACAGAGACTGGAAGTTGGGTTTCTCTGCCTAAAAATAAAAGACCAAAGAAAAGAAGTACTAGGTTGTACAATAGTGTGTTTTTGTGGCAAAAGTTAAAAATAAGATCATTTGCATTGTCACAGGTACAGATTTCCCATGCACTTTGAGTTGTATTCAATTTTGTGAGCATCACTGATGAGGCAGTATGTCAATGCTGAATCTAAATATTTTGCTTTAGTTCTCTACAAGAGCACAAACTGAAAGCAAAAACTAACAAAAGATGACGGAGATCCGTGTACACGGATAACCTTCTGTAGATTCTGATCCGTTATTGCTCCATTTAGCTCAAATGACTCTAAAGTTTTAATGGATTACCCTGTGAATTAATGCTCCATACAATAAACTGCATGTTATTCAATATAAAAATAAGGGTTATGATCAAGCAAGGGTAATTCACATGTTATGGAAATAACAAAATGCAACAAAGTAAATACGCTGAAAAAAGTTAGAAAAATCAACTGGACTTTTTCAGCTTACTATGACCTGGATGACTGAGAATCTGCACAAACAAAGTAAATATCTTAGATTACATTGAGCTGGCACAGATGATAAATGGATCATACAATACAAGCTATTTGCCTTATGCAAATAGCTGTGCAAAGAGCCCATATACAATTGTATGTGTTGAAGTAATGATCTTCGTCATGTAGCCCAGTGAGAAACTTCTCAGAATAAAAAAAATATATATATATACTGGAGGTCTAGTACTATAGTTCTATTAAATGCAGTCTGACTTCATTTGTAATGTGTCGACTCAGGCTATGTTCCTCTTGATAAACTAACCAAGAGAATGAAAACATGCTCATCCAGGCTTTTATTTTGCCAGCTCAAACCGGAAACGACCTCCGTATTTGCGGCTAACCTGACAGTCGCAGTTTGGCACATTCTCCAACAGTCGGTCAAAGCAACGGACGGGGAGCAGCGGACAATCACTATTACGGATTACGAAATAAGCAGTGGACATTGTAACCCATTTGTCGTGCACCGTGCGTCCAGCCCAATTAGAAAGGTGAGGCGTCCGTGTTCTCCTGTGCGAATCCAACTCTACAAATAGAACCGGGGTTTATTACGTTATCTCCTAGAGGGAGGGGGCGGTGGTAGTGGTTGGGGAAGAGAGGGGGGCATCTATTCTGTCTTTTGTGCTGGAGATGATTTGGCAGTGGTCAGTGAGGAACCTTAGGATAGGCTGGATATTTGGAAAAGAGTGCTGTTCAGCTTTATTTCGTTCTAACGTTACCCTTGTAAAGATGTTTCACACCGGGGGTGTTTTGCTGGTAACTCTTGATAGATGGCCAGTAACCAGGGCACCGGGGTGGTGAGAAGGTGCTGGGAGCCCAGGTCCCACCGTTTGGCTCTCGAATAGAGAACGTACAGTATCCCCATAAACATATGAGTCATTTTAAACATTCTCCCATTTAAGTATGTATGTTTACTTTACAGAGAAGCCGAAATAGACCTTTAAAAATCCCCAGCAGCCGCCGTTTAGTTGGGCATGTGCACACTGCGCCAAACTGCACTGAGGTCGGTAGGATTTAAACATCTGTAGCTCTCCAGGCAGTCTCACCAACTTTTCCACTGAAATACGGGAGCTTGGCTAACAGTGACAACCAGATGGAAAAGTTGGCTTTTCGTTTTCTAAGAGCTGCTTAGTATGTTACAGAAGTCTTACATTCAGAAAAGGTTTAAAGTAAAATAAATGTCACGACGTGTTTGCCCACAACGAAGACCGCATTAAAGATAGCTGCCTCAAATACGTGAGGGGAATTTGGTACATTAGTCTCAAAGCGTAAAAGCACGGGAGCTATGGGGGGGGCGACTTTCTCCAAGGCCTGCTCAGTGACACACAATCTGCAATGCTGTGCCAAGGTTGTAGTTACGGTTGAGCTGTTTTGACAGTTTCACACCCGCGAGCGAAAAACATCTGCCCAGCCTCTTGTGACAGGTGCCCAAGGTGCTGCTCTGTCTGCAGCTTTGACTCTGTGTGTTTGTGTGTTTGTGTGTTGGTTCTTACCTGGCAACTGGCAACACACTGTTTTCCACAGAATAGTAACAGCTCACCCCGAGTGGGTTCTGCTCACCAGTGTAGATGTTACAGCCTTTGAAACGATGCCTGTAGCCCATATATAGCCCACACTTGGACAGTCTGCCTAGTCTGGTCTTTACCAAGAGGGTGCAGCTCACTTGGATTGAGATCAGGCTCAGTCATGTTTCACCTCAAGCTCTTTGGTTGCTGTGGCCAGATGTTTAGGATCATTGTCCTATTAACAATGAAATGTTTTCTAATGAGACTGGATGCATTCCCAGAGGATAAATGTGCTGCTTAAAAGTCTCTTGTCTTCTTAGAAGTAAATCCCGTTCATATTTTGGGTGTTCTAATATCTCACCCTTTCCTCCTAAACACCACCTTAGTAGAACTACAGAGCAACAGCTAAGATCAGTTTAAGAGATATTACCCCTGGAGAAGCCAAAGAAATGATGGTACCGTTATCAGGATACACAGTTCTCATAGGTTTCTCCTAAATGACTGTTGAGGTGCAGAGAAAAGACAACTTTATGAGTCAGAGTTGAGATGTACCTCACAAAGTGCTGTACAGTTGCAGGCTTGTCCACTGGGAGCAACAAGGGTTAATTGTCTTCCTCAAGGACACTGTAGCAGGTGGCTAGGAGGAACTGGAGACTGAAGAGCCTGCTCCACCATCTGAGCCACAGCCACCTGTCTTTAGGTTCTTAAATTAATTAAAAATAGAGATAAAAATTAAGAAAAGAGCTTGAGGACCCCCACAAAGTCTTTGTTTAATTAGTCCAAACAGAGCCTTCTCCTTATGAGACGACAGTATGTCTGTCTAATTTAATATGGCTTTGTATGATGTTTTAAGTGTATTCTTCTATTTTTGCCCTTTCCTCTCAGTCTGAGAGTAGATTGACTTTCAGTCTTGCAGAACACAACTACCTGAGTGATGAATGTGTTTGTGTCTTTGTGGTGTTGAGGTGCCAGTGCCTGAGGAAGATCTCTGTTAGATCCAAATGTTTGTCTATTATTAAATTCACTGGGAGCTGTCAGTGCAGCGTGCAGATCCTTCCTTTGGCTTTTGACTCACATTCGTAATAAAATCCTCAGTTATGTTAGACATCTGGTTTAGTAGGGCTGAACTGAAATGAAGAAAATGCTCAACATATTATAGTGTAACATGGCTAAATAACTTCATGAATATCTGTGCTAGCCTATAGATATTACCGACTCTTTTTGCTTTCAGACAGGTATGTGAATCTTGAAATAAGTTCTTTCAGACAAAGGTGTGAGAAAAAACTTGGAACATGTTAAGAGCTTAGAATAGGATCAGAGTGAGACTGAAGCTGCATTACAGAAGTGTGAGAAATAGATCAAAATCTCATGCTGGTGCTTAAACAAGCTTCAACAGTCTAAACAAAGATGAGATCTTCATTAGAATTTTCCTCTCCTCTGGGTTTGTCTGAGTCTGAGCTCACACAGTGCTCCTGTATACCTCTGCCAGCTCCACTGGGCCAAGCCAAAGCAGCACCGGCACCATGTTTGACCAATGAGGTGGTGCTTTGGGTCATGAACTGCTCCTTTTTTCTCCACACTTTCCTCTTTCTGTCATTTTGACAGTGGTTGGTTTTTGTTTCATCAGAACTTGGTTCCAGAACTCCACCGCTGTCTTTTTGTATGTTTTAGTGAACGACAACCTGGTCCCTCTGTCTCTGAGGTTTGCCAGGGCTCTGCATGTTGTGGTTCTGCTCATGAAATCTTGATCATTGACAAGGAAACGTATACGCCTACGTCCTGGAGAGCATTCTCAACTTGCTGTCATTTTTCTTCACCACGTACTCAAGCTTCCAGTCGTCTGCAGGACTTGTACTCCTCAGTCCACCTCAGTTTGACATTCTCTAGTTTTCCTGTGTGCACCAGGTTTTTTTTAAGAACAAACCCAGTCTTAGTAAACTGATATCTCTCTGACTGACTGATTTATTTATTTATTTATTTTAGATTTTTGAGCTCCATTTCTGACCCATGTGGCAGCTTTTTTTTGCATGAACTAATGTTAAAACAACACGCGACTGCACAAGAAACTCGAATGGCCTCTTTGTGTTAAATGACTGTATCTCCCACATAGTTCTTTCTTTTTGCATAAAGCTACTGAACTTATAGAGACTTGGCACTATAATGTAATATCCATTATCCATCCATTTGAATGTGCCTGAAGAACAGTATCTGTGCAACGGCCTGGACTGTAATCCCCCAGTTATTGTCCTACTGGCTCGCCACCAGATGCAGTTCATTTCATTAGATTGATCAAAAGTCAAAAGCTGGGTCAGCTTGTCAAACCCACTGTCAGGCTTATTAAACCATCTCTCCTTAGCTCTGCCACCTCTGATGCTCATTTCAGCAACAATTCCCTCACATTGTATCATACGTTTTTCATACCAGACCTAGGAGTGTAAATAGAGGCGCACACCCTGCAGTTCACTCACAGACACACACACAGAGGATTAGATTCAGTGAACATGACCTTGTAGGTGTCTTATTATTGAGTCTCGAGGCTTGTGACCAGCAGACGTTCAACTTGGCTGATTCTGAGGATGAGTGCTTATTTAATTTTTTTAATCTTGTGGCTTCAAATAGATCCTAGTAGGGTTAGTACAGAGAAGCCTGTTAGAGGAGGAATAACAACAGTACAGCTGCATTTTAAATATTTATTTGAGAGTGGACAGTAAAGAGATGAGAGGAAGAGAGATGGGAAAAGGCAAGCAACAAATGTCCTCGGCTGGAGTGTCTTTGATTAATCATTTAAATCAGTTATTATGCCAGAGGGTTAAAAATTCTTTGATTCCAGCTGACTATTGATCTTTGATTATAGACATCACTAGGTGATTTTTTTTTTTTTTTTACACGTTAAACATAAAATGATTCACAAATTCAGCATGAAGGTTTATTATTCTTGGCCTACGCGTCCACCTATTAGCTTTTTCAGGTCTTTTCAGCCTTATCACATCAGTGGAAGCTCAGTAATTGTTATGATTTCATCCAAAAAGACTTTTTGTCTTTGTTGGCTAAAAGGTTATTTGTCATTAACTAGGAAAAATGATCAACAGATTATGAAGGCATAAAGAAAATGTTGCAGCAGTTACTTGGTATCATCCTTCTGTGTTACAGTGGATTATTAATTATTCCATATCTGCTTTCAGAACAATACATTGAACGAGCCCATCCAGGTGAAGACACTGGGAACCTTTTGGTGTGTGTTTTTGCATACGTTGTATGTGTTTAACACTGCCTCTGTGTGTGCAGTGTCAGCATGTCCAGTGAGGTGCAGCCGAGGCCGGACGACAGCCCCAATACCAGTGGGGGAAGCTCAGATGCTGAGCAGAGAGAGGCAGCTCCTCCAGAGCAGCCGGGCCCTGAGCAGCGGGACCAGACCCAGCCCAAGAAGAAGGAGGCCAAAATCTCCAGCAAGACCGCTGCCAAGCTCTCCACCAGCGCCAAGAGGTAGGTCTCGTGCACTGTTAAGCTTGATTTCTGGTTCTGCGTTGAACCTACATGGAGCCTACACCTTAGGCTGCACAGGTGGCCCACGCCCGTTGTGTGCACTGATGTGTCTGTTGCCCTGCAATTACACTGCCAAAACACTAGTTGGTGCTGGGGTTTTTGTGCCACTGTGTCGCATTTCTTCGCCACTTACTAACAATGGCAACTGAAACCGAGCTGTTCATGTTGGAGTTAAAACTAACAGATGTTGAACAGCAATTACTTTTACTGAAATGACTCAACGGCCAATAAGACAGAAGACATCAGAGGAGACGGTCTGTACGACTATTGAGCCAACGGAGGCAGAACAAGGAGGGGTTGTCCGTGCTTATCTGGCCTCTGATAGACATGATGCGATGCAACAAATCACAGCTGTTGCATCATCATGACGTGTAGATGAGGCGCACATCAGGATACAGCATAAGGTGTGAGGCTACGTGTTACCCATGTCGTACGGTGTAGATTCACTGCAGGACCAAGCTTTACGTTTGCTGTCCTCTGCTGCCTGAACTGTCCTGATGCTGCACTATTCTTCTGCTTCTTCTGTGATCTTTGGTTTTCTCTTTTGTGCTAAGTAGTCACTGCTGTGTTGCTTTGTGATTATTTTTTCATAACCGTCAATTGAAACAATGAATATTCAGTGATTTTCTGTTCATGAGGCCTAATGCTGAAGCAGTTTCATTAGGAAATCAACAGAAAAATCATCAAGAGCAACTTTAGACGTTGGTTAATCATTTACGCAATCATGTTTAATCAAGTAGTTTATCAAGGAAGTACATAAACTCTGGGGTTCTCCGATGCTGAGGATTTGCTGCTTTTCTTTGATTTAAAAAAAATTTTTTTTTATAGTACACGATGTAATTTAAAGAGTAGAGACACACCGATTGTAAAACTCTGGGCCGATGCCGATGTTTAAAATGATAGCTGTTGCCTTGTGTGCCAGGGAAACAGTTTCATTACTGATTCAGTCTTTCAGCCTCCATCACACTGTCTTTGAATGAGCACAAATTCAACTATACAAATTAATGAAGCAACCTTTAATAGGCTATAACCTTGTTTCACATGGCATGTTCTTTTTCTGAGAAATAATCTTCAGAAGCCTTTTCAGCCTGCTATACAGCTACCTGCTAAATGAGAAGACTTTTTCAGGACATACCTAGCCTTTGTGGAGCACTAGCCGCAGTGTGTGCAGCATGCAACCAAAACTGGTCAGGCCAATGTCCGTCATAGCTTTTGCCATATTTCTGGTGTCCTCTCTAATGACATCATGCATATTGGATCGGCACAAACTTGATGAGACGTGACAGATCAACACTGGTCGGTGCAGTCAGTGAATGAACATCTTATTTGCCGATGGCAGACAACAAGGTGAATATCAGTCGATATGAATGTATGGCCGATAAATCGATGCATCCCTGTTGAATAGTTTTGGTTTGGAAGTGTTGCACAGAAAACAGACAATCTGAGAATTTTACTGTGTTTACTGAGAAACTGTAATAAATCTTGACCACTTTCCAGACTAATCAATTCAATGACAAGAAAATCAAGAGATGATTTAATAATAAAAATATTGTGATTGCGCTGCGTGTGGACATCCTTTTCTTCGTTCACTCAGTCGGTGAGTTGTATTCTTCCAAACAAGCTGTTGGGCATAAAAGCATCACTTTGTGCATTCAAGGCAACCAGACACCTACAGTGAATCATGCCAAGGATGTTTTCTATTTGTTAAACATCTTGCTGACAAGTCTTAGAACTACTTGCTGCAGCAACAAATAAACAGTTCTATGCACTGTTCTCCTTGAGCTACACTAGAACAACATTAAAAATGAAGGTTTAAATATGTTACAATAATAAAATGTGTTCTCAGAATATGTTCATAGCTATTTGGAACTGTGTTTGCATATGTCGCTGCTATGTTGGGATCTTATCACCATGTGAACCACCCACACTCAGTCAGACCTGAAAAGCTGCTGGAAAATGATGCAGACAGGGAGTAAATGCATATTTCAGCCACAGAGAGGCAAACCAATGCCAGACATTTCCACATTAAACACACCCCTGGTGTCTCTGCCCAGTTTCCTGGTAACATAGCACTAATTCAGTTTAGAACCAGTTCATGGCAGGTTGGCACCAGATATCATGGGGTTATGGCACAGAGCAACAGCAGTTGTTATCTGGACTGGCAATAAGTTGGCCAGGCAGCACAGGCACAGTCAGTCATGTGTTGATGCTGCTACCAGAAGTGTTGATTGAAACAGAATAGTTGACACCATGCCACCCATCGGTAGTTGTGCCAGACTGCTGGAAGTGTTCAATGCATTGTTGCAGAAATGAAAGCACATAGTTCATCTTCCTTTCATTTCTATTCTGAAGAATAGTGTACATGGAGCGTATTGTAACACTGGTCTATAACCAAAATGCTTCTGAAACAACATAATCAACCGTTGCTAATTCTGGCCCACTGAAAATGGAAATGAAATTTAAACTAGTTGATTGACTCTGGTTTGTAAGATCTGGCATGCCTCTAGCTGCAGCTATTGCCCGTGGGGGGGCATAACAACTATAGCCGGTCAGCATTTTTAAAGGTCATATTTGAACTCATCACCTTATAATCCATCCAATTTGGAAAAGAAAGGGGTTTTATTTATTGTAGACCAGTGAAATCAAACTAAGAATAGTGGGTGGAACCAGTTGAGCACCACCAAAGGAGAACTTTTGATTTGATTTTGATTTGATTTGATTTATTCTTTCAAGCATGTAAAGACAGTTGATATGACCATATGTAATTGCCCAATCACCATAAAGTGGGACGGCCGATGGATCATACATCTTTGTGACTTAGCTGTTGCTGAAAGCTTGGTGATCCTGTGCCTCCTTGGATCCTTGGCTGCAAACCAGGCAGTAATTTAGGGGCCAGGTTAAAAAACTAGGTTGAATGTTGTGTTATGTTGTGTTCCTATACTTGTTCTGACCATCCACACTGAAAGGCAGAGTGAAAAGCCAGCCATCATAGAGAAGAGGGAGATGACATCATTTAAATATGAAGATTACAGTTTACATTTTCAGACAGTCTCTGTTGATCTTGGTTGTTCACATGAAAAGTACCACAAATGGTAACAAATGAACATTTCACACCCCCGCTTTTCCCCCCTCACCTTCACACAGCTGGGCAGTCACGATGTCTGTTTGTTTGATTGCCTGTTTCAGAAAGTTATAAAAATTCGTACACAGTCCCTTTAATCTGTCTGAAAGCTACTGGGGGAGGGGGTTTCTGAAACTACGTGAACGAGCAGGTTGAAAGGCTTGCTGTAATAGAGTGTGAGCATGCATAGTAGTCATTCAAGCAGAGATGAGTGCACACACCATCAGACAATGCTCCCCAGCAGGAGTTCATGGTGTTGCACAGTGTTTGTATGAAACCTGCCCACTTTTCCACACCTAGCCTGTTGTATTGTCAGTACTGGAGAAGGACATAGACCAAACAGAAAAGGGGGGGGTTAGGTTTTCAGAACCATTTCAGCCATTTCCATTTGATTGAAGGACAGATGCCTTCACAGTGCCTTTCTCCACCTTACAAAAAAAGCTAATAATTGTACAGCATTGTTTTGATGTCTCAGAACTAAATTGAAACTAAACTATTTTGGTTCTTCTTACCATTGCTAACTCTGAGACACGAGACAGTCCAAGTGATACATAAAGTATCTATCCAATTTCTATCTGACTAAAAATACCTAACACTAGCCTCACTGACCTTCGTGTAATAAAGTGTGGTGTCATACATCCCTTGGATGTAAAGGACTACTTTAAGGATAGCCTTTGTATTTGCTCTTGTACACATTCTGCTCGAGATACCAAGGACGTGATGCACCGTACGCTTACAACTTCAGCCACAGCTGTTTATTACAGCAATGGCTTCTTATCACCAGAGATGGCTGTAACAAATAAGCACCTCCAGGGTTACAATTTTATTGGAAGGTTGACAGGTACAGTGTTATTTTACTGCTTTCAGTGCTCTTTCCTGTTATAAATCACTGGCTGCTACACACACAGGCCAAAGCCTGGTTTTCTATTATAAAAACCATGCTTAGATGGTTTTAACTTATTTGCATTTATCAAGGCGTGCATACTCTAATAGTTTAGTGCTTGGCGTGTCTCAAAGAATTATCAAATGCAGTGAGTTGTGGAACATTACAGAACGCAAGTGTTTGGATAAGAGGATATGCAGGAGCATGTGGAAGTCACAGTATAATCAGTGCCTTCCTATCTGGATTCCTCTGGCCTTGTTCACTGTAGCACTCTGCCTAACAGGTCCCCAGCTTCAGCCGTCAAATTGTGCCACCTCAGGATATACTGGAGATAAAATTTCATAGCACATACTCAAGATGAGAATGACTCCATAACTGTGGAGACTGTATGACAGGCCCCTTTGTGAATATGTCTTTTTTCCTTCTTCCCAAATTGAGAAGAGTTTAAAGTAAAATCCCCCCTTGAATACCCTTATGCACCCCCCCTGCCCCATGTCCATAATCCCCAAGCCCATCCTGCAGATGCAGTACATACAGTGTATTTTGTCTTCAGCGAACTGTATAGTAGCATTTTAACACATTTGTCAGAGGACACTCCTCTCCAGGAGTAAGAGCTTTAGTATAATGTAATGTAAGCCTCACATTGCAGTGTGAATATTGAATATCTATTCATTGTCACGTCGGTGGTGAAACAATATATCATGTCAGCATCTTGTCCTCCTCCTCCTGTTGTATATCAGCAAATTGTTTTATGTCCCCACTAACAAACAGCTGTGTGAACAGACTATGTTCAGTAAGCATACTCAGTTATTTAGTTTTTTGTTGCTGTGGCACAAAGGTGTAGTCAGAGGGTTTAAAACACCCCCATCCAAAAATGTTTTATAGCCTATATCGTATTGTGCAGAGCTTTTAAGAAGGCAGTACAACAATGCACCGGACAGAACATGTTATCATAGAAGTTAGTTCCTCTGGTAAAGTGCTTCAGCCATCCTCTTTGGTAGTGGTGTCACAGATCTTGGTTGATCCGTACAGATTCCCCCTCATTCCGCATGTGACCTGTGGATTAATTGCTGGTAAGACGCTTCCTCACTGTCCCTGCCGCTTCAGTTTCTAGAGAGAGTGAGATGTGCACAGCAGGGGATATTAGTGTTTTTCCACATCAGGAACTTAACATGACCTTGCAGGGCTGATGTGGTCGGTGCACTTTGCTTTTCCACTGCATTTTCCATGTGTGTAGCTGAGGGCACGCACACACCCACGCTGTGTTCACTTTACATTTCCTGTAGACTTATTCTAACCTTAACCATAACCACTACTTGCCTAACACCTAACCCTGAGACTAACCTTAAACCATGTTGCCACCCTAAAATTCAGTGAGTGTGTAAACAGTTTTTGGTCCCCATAATGTAAGTAATACAAAGGCACACGGGTGAGGTTAGAGCCTCAAATAGGAATTTACAATGCGCCTTCATCTAAAACTGAGGAGCCAATTAGAGTGGAGTATTCTCATAACAGACATGATGTAGTCCAGTACAACAACACCTTTAACTATGACCTCAATAATAAACATAAAATTGAATTTATACATTTGTGACACTTTCACCAAAAACTGAAACATTTTGTGCTTCATAAAGATGGATGTTAAAAGCAGAAGTGTTGCACTGAAGTGCTTGCAGTTGTACAGGTGTATCTAATAAATTGGCCAGTGAGTATATATTCCAAGTTTATGAGGTGAACTCCTGCTGGATGAGTCTAGCACCATTAAAGCGGCAGTTACTTTTTTATTTTCAGCTAAAGTCCAAATATCATTTGGCTCCTTTTCCTGGCATGTCAAGAGGATTATTACCGAGTTTTTGTTCATAGATTGAATATTTGCAGTAGTGTGATTAATGCAAGCATGAAATAAGGCAACAGACAGTAGGCTCATGGTCAGGGACAGATCTACAGGAGGGTGGGCGGGCAGCTGCCCCCAAGAGGTTTCAGTTCTTAACACTACTTATAAAAATGCATATCACTGTGTCCTGGCTGAGTGGTAGGGGCAAGGAGGAAAAATGGGATTGGGCCCAAATGTGATTAAATAATGAAAGTATGCCTGTTCATATCATAGTGTTGGGCAAAGAATTCACTCTCTAAACGTTATCACTAGACATGATGTGATTTTAGTCAAAAATCAGTACGAGCGCTGTTGCAATGTTCACATTGTTTTTCCTCTATGTTTTAATTAGCGCTGAATGATTTTAGAAAATATTGCACCTTTTTTAGCAATATTGTCAAACCCAACAGTATATGAACACAGAAAAGGCATATTTCTTTCCTTCCTTCATTCATAAAATTCTGCAGATCTGAGCTCCTCTCAGACTGAGTAGTGTCCAATGAAACCAGAAAACTAAGCTGTACAGCATCAGCCTACTAAATGATCTCCGACCAGCTTCATTTTGCCTATATCTTATGCTGTAAAACATGACTGGTGTTTGTGCTGGATGTCTAGCTTTTTAAACTACTGTTCATGTAAAGTGAGTCAACAGCGGTCACTGCTGCTGCCTCAGTGTTCAAGGATGATAATGGTACAACTGTAACTGGGTGGTGGGACCAAACCGATGTAGTCGGTGGAGGGAGACAGAAGTGAGGGAGGTGACAGTCACTCAGAAACTCAGCGGGCTGTGCTGCTGCTCTGTGTGTGTAAAGAAGACCGACCCTGGCTTTATCTTCTGATCTCACAATGTTTACGGATGTAGACATTCAAAGTGTTATGCTTTTTACGGTGGCCTCTCATTGTCTCTATCTTAGCCACATTATTAATCACGAAATCCATCAGTCGACTGAGAATCTGTACCCGCTTCAACAGTGACACTGTACGATGCAGGGACATATAAGGTCAAATAACACTATTTAGAAAACTGCTGCCCAGAACGAGGAGAAAAAGATGACAAAATCCACAAGGACAAGACGCATGAAGGTGTACTTTATTAGAACAGACTCATTCTTTCATTCGGTACCCAAAGCTCATAACTAGAAGTGAGGGTTGTAACATAGATTGACTAGTAAATCGAGCGTTTCGCCTTCGGGCTCAGCTCCCTCTTCACCACAACAGTCACATTACTGCTGAGGCTGCACCGGATCATCTGGGATACTCAAACTCCTTCACTTGGAAAACAACTAACTCCAATTTGCTCCATCGTGAAATGTGACAGAGGTGGAGCTCTTTGCACGGCAGAGAATAACATCCACATTTGTAGCCAACTGAGTGATAAATGACAAGGAGAGCCCTGGTCGGCAAATCCCCGGCATAGTTTTGTAATGAATATTTAACCAGGGAGAAATTTGACCCCTCTCCGGTCTGATCATTAAACCTTCTTTTTATGTGCCCCCAACAGAGCCGATAGAGGCCCATGATCAGCAGCAACGTTTCATTTGACAGTATACATATGCTCCAGACATATCGGATATGATTCCTCTATCCGACATGGCCTTTTGACATCAATGTCAACATAAGTGAATGTGGTTAATGGCAAATATTCAGCTGTGCATTCCTGGGCTGATGTTGCGTGACAGAACTTATTTCTGTGTTCAAACACAGCTCTCAGGAGCTCATTAGAAAATCAATGGTCTTCAGTGTGTACAAATGTAGGATTTATACAACTGTCTGCTTTGTGTGTTAGACAATGTGATCATATCATTGCTTTTCCTCTCGTTTCAGAATCCAGAAGGAGCTAGCAGAGATAACCTTGGACCCACCGCCAAATTGCAGGTAGGAGCCTGCTGATTGTGTGTGTGTGTGTGTTTTTTTTTAAGAGCTATTTGCTCCAACACCTGAGGCACTTTTGTGTTTGTGCGAGTGTGTGTGAGCCTGTTTGAATGGATTCTGCAGGCTCAGTGAGTCACATGAATAGCACAGGTATATTATTGTGCTGTGTTTGCACCAGTGTTTGCTCTGGCTGGAGCACAATGAATGGACCTTGTAAGTGGTCTGTGTCATGAACAAGTTAAAATAAATAAAATATTGGTGCGATTGACCTGTTTTCCAGTGTATACCATTAGGATCACTGTGGCAACAGTGTTGCATTTACTCACGCTCCCCTGAGGGTAGGATAGGCACTCGGCTGTGGCTCGACTGGCTTGCATGGTTTATTTGTGTCAGAGTGCGGTGAAAGGCTGGATGCTGCACACTCCTGCCAATTAAGATCTGAGTGAGAGCTTTTCACTGTTTTTTGTTGAATCGTCATTTGTTATTCTTCTCAAACTGATGACTTTTGGGAGCAGTGGTAGAGGCTGGTGGGAAGGTGGAGGTGGGACCGTGCAGCTCCATACTGGGCTGTGACGTTGAGGCGTTTCCTGTAGGGCTGAGAAAGCCATCCAGCACAAACACCAGTCATGTTTTTATCTTATGTTTGTTTTTAATAAGGTATTTGATTATATTAAAAGGGGTGTGTGTTGGTTATATTGGTCTGAGAGCTTTGATTGACAGTCTGATACTGTCACTCAACTTCTGGTCACTACCGCATCGTATCTGGTTGCAAAATACCAAGGTGGCAACTGTCGTATTCACCATATTGTGGCTTCACTTTTGTATAAATGAATGGAGTGGTGATGTGTCATCAATTTTTTATACACAGTTTGTGCTTTTAACTGATCAAATGGATCTAACACATAACATTTCCCTTTCTGAGACGTGTATAGATGGAGGGAAAGCCTTTCACCTTTCAGAAGAAAACAATTCTCCTGCCATATTGTTTGCAGTATAACTGAACAGCCACTGTGTTTTTTAGCAGGTGAGAACAGAAAACGATCTGTTTTCATGAAGGGACTATCAGTCACCATAGCAGAGATTTCTCTGGCAGGTTGCAGTCTGTTTGTCAGCCCTCCAGTCTTAAAGACAAGGCTAATCTGGCTGAAGTGAGCCATTATGTTTCCTGACAAAGGGCCAAACAGCAGAGGAGGAAAAAGAAATTTAATGTGCAGGCATTTGTTTAGATGACATTTTTCTGTGTAAAGAGAAGCTTCCTTGAAGGATGTCCAGGCTGAAAGGAGCCCTCATGATGAACAGACTGAGCTTGGCTGCAGTCAGGAGTCCTCAGTGAAGTGAAAAATGAGGCTCGGGCTGTTCAAGTGTATTTCAGTGGCATTCAGAGATACGAGCCAGTGAATGTGGCGCTACTTGAAATGTAGATTTCTGTATTTATATGCCCCTTGGGGTATTTGCCTCAGTCTTAACAGCTCCCAGTTCCCCCACAAGGCTGTCACTTCCCCGGTGTTTGATTTAGCCTGCATGTTTCACCACAACAATCCTGTTCTTTTGCGTGATAAGCAAAGCACAGTGTGAACATTAAAACCCTTCTGCTGAGATAAATTCCCTTAAACAGTACAGTACCTTCTCGCACACAGTGTCAGTTCAAACAAAAAGCCTTGCATTTCCCCAGCCCTTTCTTCACCTACTAATTGATCTGACAGTGTTAAATAGGCCGTGTTTGCTGAAAGACATCAGATGTGAGGGGTTATGAGCGAGCGCTGTGATGCAGCTCATTACCCCACAGGCTTCGGTGTTTTTTATTTTGTTTCTTTCTTTTTTTGCTCCCGCCAGAATAAAGCACAGCTCATGATCACAGCCACATCTATAAACATCCTCTCTGACTCTCTTCTTGCCCTCCCCCCCCCCGATAGAAGTAATGGTGCTGTAATCCCTATTGGGAATGAAATACAAAACACCTTTAACTTTTAATAAGGCAATGTGCCTTGTTTTCATTTGGCTTCATTTTAAGAAGACTTAGAAGATTTTTTGGAACCATTTGCAGAAATATTTTTTATCATTCTTTTTAATTATCTTTGTCACCCTGCCAGTGAGCAATTAATTGAATGTGACAAGCGCTCAGGAAGGGTATGTAAATAGCCCCCACACTAGACACATTATATTAGCCCGGTGCTTGGTCGGCCCTCCTCACTCTGCGTGTGTGTGCGCGTGTGCGTGTGCGTGTGCGCTTTCCATAATTACCATATCCTTTCATGATAGTCCTGGCAGCATTTTGATAAGGATCCCTCATCGGCTGAGGGGAAACAATGTGCAGATTCCAAGGGGGAATTGGCCACGCTCTCTCTCTTCTTCGTAATCCCAGTAAGACTTTGTCTGCTCCAGAAGAATAACTTCCTAGTGAATATCAGTGTCATCTAAGGAATGAAAGCAATAAGGCAGAAGAGAGTATCAGTGCACAATGGGCTGAATGAGAGAAATGTAAATTCATGTATGGCTATCAGGCTGTAGATGTGATTGAGTCAAATACGACTCCACTTTCATTGTCGTCTGCTGCAAAGCGCTGGTTTGCTTTCTTATAGGAAGATGACAGACACTGAGCTTCGCTGTGGTGATAATAGATTTTCATCCAACTGTCACAATGTGGCATATAACAGAATGTAAATTGTGTTTGTCATCTAGGTTGATGCACATCAGCAAGCTTTGTTCATTTCATTAAATAGCTTTAATGACAAACAGGTTACTGGCGTTAATCAGGAGAGTGGAGGTTCTTGAGTGCCAGCTAATGTGTGCTGTATTTCACAGCAGTATTACTATGGGGCCAGACAAATGTACTACAAAACAGATCTCAGCCCAGCAATATCAGCCATCTTCAGTTTGATGCAGGTTCTACAGTGTAAATCCAGCATAAAACTCTCAAATAGATTTTTGTTCTTTACATAATTAGGTCATGCAGCTGTACACCCATGACTTAGTTTATAGAGTAGGACAGTTCCTTTAAGAGCCACTAATCTTCAATGAATTTCACAGTCAGCTGTGCAGGCTTTGTTGTAGGTGTCTCATTGTGTCTCTGCTGCTTCAGAGACAAGAATAACATTAAACAAGAGTGACATTCTACGTCATCACCAGGGCTGCACAGTTCAGTGTACCAAACAATTAGCAGTTAATCTGCCAATGGCAGTGTCTTATCACCTGACCAAATTTCATCTGGATTTGATCTGGATTCCAGATCTAGCAGGTATTTAACACTGAAAACCAATTGAATTTATTTTTTGCTACTTGGCCTACAATAAAGGTAGAACCCTGAAATGTACTGTCTACCTATCGTACTCTAAAAGATGATCAAGATTCGATCTGGATTAGGGATTTTAGGACGCATTTTGTTGTTCTGGATCTTATTCTTCCACAAAGGAGCCATTTGCATGAGCGAATGTTGGAGTGTTGGAGGTCCATGTGCTGTCACAATACCCATTACAGTTTCTGAGAGTGATGTCTTTATTTGTCATCATTTTGGCTGAACAGTTCAGAATCCACAGTCATTCATTTTTCTGTCATTTAAGACCTGGGAAAGAAGTACGTTCTTTTGGCCATCATCTACTAACTACATTTATTATGAGATGAGATCTGTCACAGTCTCGGTGCTCCTTCTATCCCTTCTGCTGAACTACTGGAGTGTGTACAGACTGCAGTGTATTGAAAGGGAACTTGGAGGTCACAGGGTAATGCACAGGGGGTGAGAGTGATGTTGGTGGTAGTATGGATGGTGGTAGGGTGGTATGTCACCAGGTATGTCTAACAGCAAAGTTTTACCCCTGGGCCCCTTCATAGGTTAATTCAGTCCTGACTGCAGGAAAAGAAGCACAGAATTATCGTCTGTGACCAACCCATGAAATTTAAAGGTGCATTAATTAAGATTGCACTAACCCCGTCCATGTCACTCTGCTGCCTACAGCACTTCTGTTGTGATCCCAGCTTCTCTAGCCTGTGTTGTCAAAGTATGGTCCATAAATTAGCCCTGCTTGCCACCTAGCCAAGGCTATATGAAGCACTTTTTGAACCACAAGTAGTCATTTCAAACATCCAGCCACAAAAGAGCCTCTTGTCAGTTCAAAGGCTGCAACAGTGGCTGCCAGAGCAAAGAGGTGGTGTTCTTTTGTACAAAGTGAGACGAAGAAAGAGCAAAAACCAGGGTTAATATCAGTTTGGCTTTATGAAATGGAGAGTGTTAAAATCATCCAAGTTCCTGTAAATTGATTCAGATGTGCCATTCTACCTTCTGGCTGTGTCAGCATCTAAAGCTAATGTGTTTGTTTTAGCAGCTTAGCGTACTGGTAATTATGCCTCTGTGCCAACGATACATGTAGCCAGAGGCATAATGTTTTCAGGTTGTCCGTCCATCCGTCCTTTCATCCCGTTCTTGTGGCCGTGATATGTTGGAATGCGATGAATCTTAGCCATGAATTAACTGATTCTAAATGTACCTTTTGTATTGAACTAATATGATTTTATTTTCAGAGTAATTTGAGCTTTATGTAACGATAGTACACATTAGCAGTAACCAGAGGATTGCCATATTTACTAGTTAGTCAGTCATTTTGTACAGATCGTGTTAACCAGACATGCGTAGTTTACATCATTGCTAGGAAACAAGACGTGATAATAGATTAAAAGAGTGGTTAGAAGCAGCTTAGGGTGTCAGTTGGTTTTGAGTCCATGAGGTAGAGTAGCTTTAAAGACAAAGATAAAATATACAGTATAAGTCACATGTCCACGCATTGCCCATAGTAGTCTCACAGTGACTGACAAGAGAAATTAGCGGCGGATGTTATTCACTGCAGAGCTGTGCTGCCTGTCAGCTCTTTTCCAGCCATAGTAAGTATAAACTGTACTTCTACAACAGAGATGATTAATCAAAAACCAACAAAGTGCTGAACGGTGCCTGAGCCAACAGAAAACTGTTTACCCATGGACTGTAAGATGTGCTCAGGCAAACAGAATTTAAGTAG